TTGTTATGGCGACAGGTGACAATGAAAAGACAGCGCGCGCGGTTGCCGATCAGCTGGGTATTGATGAAGTGCGCGCTGGTGTTTTGCCCGAAGATAAAAAAGCGCTGGTCGATGAATGGCATGCGCAGGGGCATAAGGTGGCGATGGCCGGCGATGGCGTCAATGATGCGCCGGCATTGGCTGCGGCCGAAGTCGGTATTGCCATGGGCACCGGCGCAGATGTGGCGGTGGAAAGTGCGGGTGTCACGTTGCTGCGCGGCGATCTAACGGGCATTGTGCGTGCGCGCAAATTGTCCGTCGCGACACTGCGCAACATCAAGCAAAACCTGGTTTTCGCTTTCGCTTATAATGCGGCGGGCATACCCATCGCGGCAGGCATATTATATCCGCTCACTGGCACATTGCTCTCGCCGATGATTGCTGCCGCAGCGATGAGCCTGTCTTCGGTCTCGGTCATCACTAACGCGCTGCGGTTGCGCCGGATTGACCTTGATGCGTGATCGGCAAACACAAAAACCTAAAGGAGCCAAGCTATGAATATTGGTCAGGCATCTGATGCAACGGGTCTGCCGGCGAAAACCATCCGCTATTATGAAGATATCAAGCTGGTGAAGCCGGACCGCGCGGCCAATGGCTATCGCGACTATCGGGACGCAGATATTCATCGGCTGGCCTTTGTGCAGCGCTCGCGCAGCCTTGGTTTTACCATCGAAGAATGCCGCCTGTTGCTTTCGCTTTATGATGACAAAGCGCGGGCAAGTTCAGACGTCAAAGCGCTGGCTACGGAAAAAATCAAAGAGATCGACCGCAAGGTCAAAGAGCTTAAATCGCTGCGCTCAACGCTGAAACAACTCGCCGACCACTGCCACGGCGATGGTCGCCCCGACTGCCCGATTATCAATGATATTGCTGGCCTGCCAGAGGTGCTGACAAGCTAAAAAACGCATGTACTTTCCCCGGGTTAGGTCCTGGCCTGGGTGTATTGATCTGAATCTGTAAACGAAGCGCTTTTTTGCTTGCACCGGTGGCGCGCGTGATTGACAGATTTGGATGAGGATCTTATCGATGACGACGGGATCGGTGAGCGGTTGTCTCAATGGCATTGCCCCGCCAACGTCAATTTTGCGGTAGCCTAGCACGCATCGAAACCAACACAGAGTTTCCATGGCCAACCCAGACCTCGATCACATCGACGAACAACTGCGTGACGACGTCCGCGCGCTGGGCAATCTACTCGGGTCCATCATTGCTGAGGATCAGGGTGCAGATGCACTGGCGGATATTGAAACGGTACGGGCTCTGGCAAAGGATGCCAGGGCTGCTGAGGTTACCAACTGGTCAGAGCTCAGCGCCTGGCTGGCTAAGCAAAACGATCAGACGCTCGTAACCATCGCCCGCGCCTTTAATCAGTTTCTCAACCTCGCCAACATCGCCGAACAGGCGCATGTTGCGCGCCAACCTGACATTGGGCTGACGCTGCCTGCAAATGAGTCAGTGGCATCCGCCGTATCAGAACTCGCCATTGAGCTGGTGCTCACCGCACATCCGACCGAAGTGCTTCGCCGCACCATGATTCAGAAGTACGACGCCATTGAAACAGCCCTGGGCAAGGACGCGGAACAGAAACACGCAGAACTGCAGCGGCTGATTACAGAGGCCTGGCACAGCGACGAGATTCGCAAGACCCGGCCCACCCCCCAGGACGAAGCCAAATGGGGCTTTGCCGTTATCGAAAGTTCGCTGTGGTACGCACTACCTGATGCCTTGCGACACCTGGACGCTGCGTTGGCCAGGAGTGACCTGCCACCGATACCACTGGACGCCACACCGTTGCGCATTGCTACATGGATGGGCGGAGACCGGGACGGCAATCCCAATGTGACGGCCTTGATTACCGAAGAAGTGCTGATGCTTGGGCGCTGGATGGCGGCAGACCTGTTTCTGCGCGACCTCGAGAACCTGCAGGGCGCGCTGTCGATGACGCGCTGCAACGATCAGCTGCGCAGCCGGGTGGGTGATGCGAGTGAGCCTTATCGGGCCGTGGTGAAAACGTTGCGCGACAAAATGTTGCTGACTCGTGATTGGGCTGAAGCACGCGCAGCCAAACCCGATGGCGGTGTGCGGGCAAGTGACCCTGTCAGCCAGTCGAGCATATTCTGGCGCACGGACGAACTGCTGCAGCCGCTGCAGGAGCTGCATGACTCGCTGGTTGAGTGTGGCATGGCCACCATTGCCGCGGGTCCATTGCAGGACAGCATCCGGCGAGCTGCCGCCTTCGGCCCGACACTCACACGCCTCGACATTCGTCAGAGTTCAGATCGCCACGCTGATGCGTTTGATGAGCTCACCCGCTATTTGAACGTTGCGGATGACAACAGTGGCTACAACGACTGGAGTGAAGCACGGCGCTGCGAGTTCCTGCTGCGCGAGCTCGACAGCAGGCGCCCGCTGTTTCCGACCACCTGGCCAGCCAGCGCTGAGGTGTCTGAAGTACTCGACACCTGCGCTTTGATTGCTCGCCTTGAAGCCGCTGGTATTGCGCAATACGTGATATCTATGGCCCGGCACCCAAGCGATGTGCTGGCGGTCATTCTGCTGTTGCGTGACGCCGGGCTGAAACAAAACCTGCCTATCGTGCCGCTGTTCGAGACACTCGATGACCTTGAACGCGCACCTGACACACTCAACGCTCTGCTCAGCAACACCTGGTACGCCAACTACTGCGGTCAGGAGCAGCAGGTGATGATCGGTTACTCCGATTCAGCAAAAGACGCCGGCCAGTTTGCTGCGGCCTGGGCACAGTACGAAGCGCAGGAGCAGCTTGTCGCGGTTGCTGACAAACACCAGGTGAAACTCACACTCTTCCACGGCCGCGGCGGCGCTGTAGGTCGCGGGGGTGGTCCGGCGCAAACCGCGATCCGCTCCCAACCACCTCATTCTGTGAATGGCAGACTGCGCGTTACCGAGCAGGGTGAAATGATTCGCTGGAAGCTTGGCACGCCCGAACTTGCCCGCAACAGCCTGACGGGCTACATCAGCGCAACACTTGAATCGTCGCTCAACCCGCCAGACCTGCCACGCCCGGAGTGGCGCGAGGCGATGCAACGCATGGCCGCCAGATCATTGTCAGCCTATCGCGCAACGGTGCGTGACGACCCGAGTTTTGTCGCTTTATTCCGCGCACTCACGCCGGAACGCGAACTCGGGATTCTTGCTCTCGGCAGTCGTCCGGCTCGCCGGGCTGCCACTGACGATGTGGCCAGCCTGCGAGCTATTCCCTGGGTATTTGCCTGGACTCAGATTCGTCTGATGCTGCCTGCGTGGTTAGGCACTGAGCGCGCCCTGGGCACGAGCCAGGAAGAACTGGCGGAACTGCGCGCCATGCTCGACTGGCCGTTCTTTCGAATGCAGATTGATATGCTGGAGATGGTACTCGCCAAGTGTGAACCCAGCCTCACCAGACTCTACGCGACAAAGTTACTGGGCGATCTACCTGCAGATTCAGTTGACGCGCTCTGCGATCGACTTGCAGCGCTGCAATCGACGGTGCTCAAACTGCGCGGCGCAGATAAGTTGCTCACCAACGAACCGGCATTGGCCGAATCTTTAAGCGTTCGTAATACCTATCTCGACCCGTTGCATGTCCTGCAGGCTGAGCTGCTTGCACGCTATCGGGCGGATGAACAACCAGACTCTGCTATTGCACGGGCACTGCGTGTCACCATGGCTGGGATCTCCAGTGGGTTACGCAACACGGGTTGAGCGAAGTGTTCTGCGTACATGAAAGGGGCGAAACCAATCGGTCCGAGACGGGTACCAATGAGATCCTCAATCACCAGGCTGACAATCGCTGTCACCACTTTAAGTATGTGTTAGATGCCTGTAGATCAGTGGGGAACGCCTTGGCTGATGACATTGATGGAGAATTACCGTATCTGGTTAACCCTATAAGCGCTCGCTGGTGGATACTACGCTACAGGGTTGAGCCAGTCATCATTCCAACCGAAAGCTGGGGATACGTCAGAATTACAAAGCGCTGGACAGAATAAAAAAAATCGCGCCAATGCTGAAACCGGCCAAACCAAACAGTACACCTTCATTTGCAATTTTGGTCAGTTTTTGAATTCGATGTGACTGCAACGATGCGACCATTTGTTCGTTGCGTTCCAACAATTGCTGTTGAGATGCTAACTGATTCCACAGTTTCAACTTATCTGTTTTGAGCTCATCGATCGTCTGCTGATGCAGTTGCAGGCTGGCTCTGGCAGTGGCTAGTTCTCTTTCCAGATTTGCCACATCAACTGCTTCAAGCTTGGTTTCTTCAGAATTAATTTTGTATTGTCTGATCTCTGCTTCACTAACGCCCACGTCAGACGCGCTGGCTTCTTGTACTGTGATGGTGCCAAACACACGCTCCAGCTCCGAAGTATCTACGCCTTTGCTGTTATCTTTACGCGTGGTAATCGAGAGCTCGCCTTTACTGGCTTTACGGTAAATAGTCTGGCGGGATTTGCCTGTAAGCTGGGCTGCTTCTGTGAGGGAAACAATCATGCGCAGAACCCCGCTGGTGCACAATTGACTGCCTGCGTTGGTAACAAAAATACGGGTCTCATCGTAAACATCCTGATTTTATGTTGTAACCATAGTTCAGGTAAGACGACGGTCAAATGCGATTACCAGGAGGCACACACCGCAGATCACCACCTGTTGCCGCCCCGTGAACTGTTATAATGGATGCTCTTCGATTTGAGGTTGAATGAATTATGAGTCAATTATCAGTGCCCGCCGGTGTGGAATATGCTGAAGTCCGGGAGCACCAGGTTCGCAAAGTGCGAAAACTGATGGTCGATGGCAACCTCACTGCCAATTCTGAAACCACTGAGGGCGGAGTAAGTTCCAGAGTGTATAACCAGGGTTACTGGGGATTTGCTTCGGTGCCTAAGGCGGACACCGTCAGTAGAGATAAGGTTGTCAGGAAGGCCGTCGATAACGCGTTAGTGATGAGTCGCTTTGGCAAAAAATCGGCCCTGACACTCGCGGGTAATGCGCACTCTTACGAACAGCGTGGTACCGATACTGCCGAACTTTCGCAGCAGGACAGCATCGACATCATGGCTGCGATCAATGATCACTGCCGCCGCCGCTATCCCGATCTCAAGTCTACCTCCATCCTTCTTCACGAAGAGGCTCATAACAAGGCTTATCAGACCACCATGGGCGGCGAGGGCGTCAGCGTCATCAATCGGGCAACCTGGGTTGTCGTGATGACAGCAGAGGATAAAAACGGTCGCCCGGTAGAGCTCAGAGAGTCACTCTCCGGTAAAGGCAACCTGGCCGACCTGAATATGACCATGCAAACCATAGGACCTGCTCTCGATGAGACGTACCAACATTTAAAAGCCAAGTGCAATGCGGTGCCTGTCCGCGGCGGTCAACATGTCATTGTCCTGTCACCGGACCTGGCCGGCATGCTGGCCCACGAAGCGATGGGCCATCCCTGCGAGGCGGATTCTGTTCTCGGCGGATCCGCCCTGGCTGGTCTTGTTGGCAAACCCGTTGCCAGCGAGCTGATCACCATGATTGATTACGCCAACACTTATAATGGCTCCGAGTTGATGATCCCGGTTTACGCTGACGACGAGGGTACCGAGGCCATTGATGCCGTCCTGATCGAAAACGGCATCATGAAAAACTTTATGAACAGCCGCGAAACCGCGGCAAAGCTGGGCATGGCCGCAACCGGCAATGCTCGCGCTTACACCTTCAACGATGAACCCCTGATCAGAATGCGCAACACCGCGATTCTGCCAGGTAAAAGCAAGCTCGAGGACATGATCAGCGAGGTTGAAGAAGGCTATTTCCTGATGAAAACCGGTAACGGCCAGGCCGACGCCACCACAGAATTCATGTTTGGCATCAACCTCGCGTATGAAATCAGAAACGGCAAACTTGGACATGCGATCACAGATACAACGGTTTCAGGTCGGGCAATCGATATGCTGAAAACGGTGGATGCGGTATCCGATGATATGCACTGGGAGTGCGGTGGCTACTGCGGCAAGAAGCAACCGATGGTTGTATCAATGGGTGGGCCCGCTATCCGCGCACAAGCGCACCTGGGTGGAGAATAATCGCAATGACAATCGACCCTAAACCTATTGCTGAAGCAGCACTCGAACAACTCCAGGCTGCAGGGTTCGATGATGGCCACGTCAGTGTTTCGATCACAACCCAGGATGAGCTCAATATTGAACAGAACGAAGCCTCTCTGCTGCGCAGCGTTGAAAACTATGATATCTCTCTAACGGGTATTGTCGATGGCAGAAAGGCAAACGTCGCGATCACCGACCTCAACGACGCAGTCGTCGCGGAGACTGTAAAAACTCTTGTTGCGCGTGCCCGAAGTGCACCCCAGGATGATGCCAATGCGGTAAGCAGCAATCAGGTCGATTCCTTTGAGCAGGGACCTTTGCATTCCGATCTTGATCTTCTGTGCAGAAAGGCATCGGAGATACTCGATTTCCGCGCTGAGCAGACACCAAAAGTGGAGCTTCGATCTGCTGCTGCCGCACACGGCGTGTCGCGTACACATACGGTCACAAGTCGGGGCACAGCCCTGTCCAGCACGGTGGGCAGTTTCCGCCTGGGCGTCACGTGTAATGCAACAGAGGATGGCAAGACCAGCTCGTTCAGCTACAGCGGTGGTATTGCTAATGATCTGAGCGACAAAAGCGCAGTCGAGTTTTTTGCCCTTGATGAGCTGATGCGCAGCGCTGAACATCAGATTCATACTCAGCTGATTGGATCACCCTTTGTCGGAGAGGTGATTCTTGCGCCCAGCGCGGTTTCCAGCGTGTTCAGCTGGCTGCTCGAGCAACTTGGTACCCAGGCTCTGATAGCGCAGTCGTCGGTTTATCAACACAGTGTTGGCGAGCAGATTGCTGCTTCTAACCTGACCCTGCGCAGCGACTTCGATGCGCCAGGGCACGCGCCGTACACCGCAGATGGTTTCAGAGCTGAGCCTCTTGTTGTCCTGGAAAACGGCAGACTGGCCACCTTGTTACCCGACCTCTATGGCAGCCTGAAAACCGGTCTATCTCACCGCCCCAGTACCTCGGGATGGTCTATTGATCCAGGTAAAGACAGAAAAACGGATCTGATCTCGTCAGTCCAACGAGGCGCATTAGTCACGCGCATCTCGATGGGACGTCCAACTTCAAGCGGCGACTTTTCCGGCGTGATCAAAAACAGCTTTCTGATCGAAGATGGGGAGATCGGCGCTGCCCTCGCTGAGACGATGGTCGCAGGTAACATGGCGCAGATGCTCAAGGATATCAGCGGTGTATCTGCCGAGAAAATCAATTATGGTGGGCAGAACTTTCCATGGTTAAAGATCAACGGCCTGCATTTCTCCTGACTTCGCCGGATGGTTAGGCAAGGTGCCGGCGCGATGTTTGGCAAGGCAATGTTAACGGTCAGGTTCTGCGTTAACGCAAGCATAAAAAAACGGGACACTCTCATGTCCCGTTTCTTTTATCCTGAAAGCAGGATCAGGTCAGAAGTGGTGCAATCACCAGGCTGACAATCGCCATCACGTTGATCAGGATGTTCATGCTGGGACCTGAAGTATCTTTGAAGGGGTCACCAACCGTGTCACCAACAACAGCTGCAGAGTGCACCTCGCTGCCTTTACCGCCGAGGTTACCTTTCTCAACATATTTTTTCGCGTTGTCCCAGGCGCCGCCGGCGTTAGCCATGGTCAGCGCAAGCAGAACACAGCCGAGCAGCGCGCCGCCAAGGGTGCCACCCAGAGCTTCAGCACCAAGACCAAATCCAACCATAGGGGGAACAGCTACAGCGATCACGCCGGGCAGCATCATTTTCTTCAATGCTGCATTAGTAGCAATCTCAACACATTTAGCGTTGTCTGGATCTGCAGTACCTTCCATCAGGCCTGGAATTTCGCGGAACTGACGACGGATCTCTTCAATCATTTCCATCGCCGCTTCACCAACCGAGGTCATGGTAATGGAGGCAATGAGGAAAGGTACAAGACCACCGATAAACAGGCCGATCAACACCATCGGGTTGCCGATATGCAGAATAAACTCGCCACCGCGGGCGAGGGTGACGGTCTCGACAAAGGCTGCGATGATGGCCAGCGCAGCGAGTGCAGCTGCGCCGATGGCAAAACCTTTACCCATTGCTGCGGTGGTATTACCCAGTTCGTCCAGCGAATCGGTAATGGCGCGGGTTTCAGGGCCAAGGCCACCCATTTCCGCGATGCCCCCGGCGTTGTCTGCAACCGGGCCGTAAGCGTCAACGGCCATGGTCATGCCAACTGTCGCTAACAAGCCAACAGCCGCGACGCCAACACCGTAAAGTCCAGCCAGGCTGGTGGATACGTAGATGATGGCGCAGATAGTCAGAATAGGCACAACAACCGACTGCATGCCGACTGCCAGACCAGTGATAATGACTGTGGCTGGGCCGGTGTTACCGGACTCAGCAATTTTCACAACCGGCGTTGAGGAGGTGTAGTACTCAGTGATCAGGCCAATCACAACGCCACCTGCAGCACCAAAGAGTACCGCCCACCAGATGTTGTTAGACACCCCTAGAGTAGACAGCACCAGGTAAGCGGCCGCCATGAATATGATTGGCGTGCCGATCATGCCGATACGCAGGGCAACCGCCGGGTTAGCGTTGGAAAAAGAACGAACAATGCCAATGCCGATGATTGAGGCGATAAGGCCGGTTGAAGCCAGTGCCAGAGGCACAAACATCAGCGCTGCACGGCCTTCTGCTTCAGATAGACCTGGCGCTAACTGGCTCACGCCAAGGGCGGCCAGTGTCGAGGCGATTGCGATGGTGGCGATCATCGAGCCGCAGTAGGATTCAAAAATGTCCGAACCCATGCCGGCCACGTCACCTACGTTGTCACCAACGTTGTCAGCAATAACACCGGGGTTACGAGGGTCATCTTCTGGAATACCCTGCTCGAGTTTGCCCACAAGGTCTGCGCCAACATCCGCACTTTTGGTGAAGATGCCGCCACCGACCCTGGAGAAAAGCGCGACAACCGAGGCACCCATACCAAAGCCATGGATATGGTGAACCATGTGTGGGTCGCTGCCGTAGAAGTAATAGACCAGGCCTAGTCCAAGCAGGCCCAGTGATGCGACCGCCAGGCCCATAATAGAGCCGCCGAAAAACGCGACGGACAAAGCGTCTGCCTGACCTTTGGTATGTGCTGCATTGGTGGTGCGGATATTGGCCTTGGTGGCGGCATACATACCGATCCAACCAGCTGCTGCGGATGACAATCCGCCGGCCAGAAACGCAGCTGCGGTGTATAAACCAAGGTCTGTGATAGATATCAGTAACAACAGAACAGCACTGAACAGCGCTAATAGTGTGTACTCGCGGCGCATGAAAACCATGGCGCCAATGTGGATCTGATCCGCAATCTTTTTAAGTGCGTCAGAACCTTCATCATAAGCTTTGACGATACCGTAGATCACAAATGCAACAATGAGCCCCACTACGCCCAGCGCAGGTGGGATCAGTTCTTGTTCAATCATTTGGGTCCCCAACTAGTGTTTAGTTTTTTGTTTTACGGGGCGAGCGCACGCCGGCATAGATGCCAGTTGCCTTCCTCCCCTGTTTCGAACGCCGCTAATAATAACAGCGTTGGCGCGCCGCGCCACCCGTGGGTTTTAGCCCTGAGTGAGCAGGGTACGCAGGTCGATAATGGCCGCGTTGGCGCGGGCAATGTAGGACGCCATCACCAGTGAATGGTTGGCCAGCAGGCCCAGGCCATCGCCATTCAACACCATCGGACTCCACACGGTATCCTGGCTGGGTTCCAGTTCGCGGATAATCTGCTGCAGGGATACCCGGGCATTTTTGTTGTCGAGCACATCGCCGAAATCCTGTTCCATAGCACGCAGCACATGCAGCAGTGCCCAGGTATAACCGCGGGTTTCAAAGAATATATTGTCGATATCAAGCCACGCGGTTTTAACCATCTGATCCTGTGGGGATGCGGTGGCCTGTTGTGCAGCGCTGTCACCGGCCAGGTCGATGTTCAGCTGACGCTTACCCACGCTGGCGGCAAGTCGCTGGGACATGCTGCCTAAACGCGTTTCAATCGCTGCCAACCACTGCTGCAGGTTGTCTGCACGGGCATAAAACTGCGCATTGGTCTGGCCGCTGTCTGCCAGTCGCCCCATATAATTGCGGAACAGCTTTGCCCCATCGCGATATTCATCTTCTGTCTGCGGCAGCATCCAGGAACTGTTGTCGAAGAAAAACTTACCCTCAGCCTCGGACAGGTCAGGGTCTTCTGCAGACTGGCTCTGTGAACGGGACAAATCGTTTCTGTACACCCGCGCCGCATCCCGCAGCAGCGTCAGCACACCAAATTCCCACTCAGGCACGTTATCCATCCAGACCCCAGGTGGAAAAACGTCGTTGGACAGGTAGCCACCACGCTTTTGCAGCAGCGTGTCCGCCAGAGTGATGACGGTTGCAGTGGTCAGATAGCCGGTGACCAGCGAATCATTGGCGCTCTGGGCCATCTGCATGGCATTTTCGCGCACGTCAAACTGATCGGGCTCGTAGTCCCACCACCAGCTCAGAATCACGGTAATGGCCAGGTACAGGCCGATCAAGCCGCCGGCGACTTTGCCAACTGTGGAAGGCGTACTACTCATATTGTCATCCATATATACAGGTTCGGTGCGTTGCCAGAATTTCAAACTCATGTCGATTGACCCCGGTAATCATCAGGTGGCGGATGTTGATCCAATCACAGCGGCAGCTTACTAAAGGTTACAGTCAGTTGCTCGCCACTGCTGAACTGGAGGGTGATAGGGAAGGCATCAGGTACTTCCGGGACACCAAAAATCATCAGGTGCAGCCCACCCCGTTCAAAACGTACTTCTGAGGCGGGTTTGATGGACAGGCTGTTAACCCGTTGCATGCCCACTGAATTTTCACGCTGCACCGTTCGGTGCATTTCTATCGCGCGTGCGAGCTCTGAGGTGGCACCTGTGAGGGTCAGCTCATCAGCGGTGTTATTGGTCAGCACAAAATAACCCGCCGTCGTATCTCGCCCAGGTACCAGATCTCGTACCTGGGCTGAAGAGACCTCGATTGCGGCAGGTGGTGTGCTGCATCCGCTGATCCATACAACGACCATGAGTGCCATAAACAGTTGCGTGCAGGTCTTCAGGTGGGGAAACATAGGCGCTCCACTTTTGCGGGTGTACGTATTTTGATTTCGGCTCTGATTCGGCCGGCAACCTCGGCTGCCGCAAGCTGCTGATAGATCCAGCGTCCCTGGGCGTCGCTGCGGGCATAAATAATAAAGCGGCATGGCGTCTTTGCCGGGTGGCTACCCAGGGCGATTAACTGATCTTTGAGGGCTCGGGTCGGATTGTTCAAAGTGTGTTGATCCAATGTCAGCGCGGTTCTCTGTGCTTCTTCTAATAGTCGTATCTGCGCCTGGGTTGGTTCTATTGAAGGGTGATTAGGGACAATTAAATCGGCCCTCACCAGCATCGAGCGAGCCGTGGCAAAACGATTATATTCCAATGCATCCTGGGCCAGTTTGACGTAGATTTCGACCAGTTGCTCCAAGCCTCGCAGAGCGTCCTCCTGGTCAGGCTGAATCGCTAGAATGTCGTGGTAATAGTCCAGTGCGTTGTGACCCGCCGGAAAGGTCAATCGATTGTCCGCAATGGCCGCATCAGCATCATCCAGGAGTTTGAACAATAACTGGCGCTCGATGACCGGTGGCGGTGGTGGCGTAACCGGTGCAACGACAGGCTCAGGTGGTGGCGTGGGTGCCGAGGGCGCCTGACAACCCGTTGCGCAGACGAGGCCAAGCAATAAAGGCAGTAAAACTGCTTTTATTGAGGGAAATTTGAGGTCTGGTTTTCGGTTGGTGTCAGAATTCACAGTGAAGATGGCGCAATGGTGTTACGTATAGACTTGGGCAGCGCATTGTAGCGAACTTCCCGCTGTTGGCGGGGTCATATGCGCACGAATATTCGCACCTTTGTAGAGTTCCTGATTTTCAGCAGGGTCTAGCGAGTGCACAATACATTTACAGTTTTAGAGGTTCCGGTGAAGTTCAACGTGCACGATCTCAAGCCACTGGCTGATATAAAGACGCTCCTGCGTCGTTCACTTCTGTTGGTCACCGCATTATTTGCATTGTCTGCTGCTGCAGCGGAATTTGAATTTGAAAGTGGCGACAGTTGGCTCGAGGAAGAAGATACCTTTCTGAAGGTTGACGAAGCGTTTGCGCTGACCGCAGAACTGGACAGCAACGGTGCCTTTGTTGCGCGCTGGGAGATGCCTGATGGGTATTATCTGTATCGCCATCAGTTTTCGTTTGAAGCGAAAGACAACAGCCGCCTGACGCTTGGTGAGCCCGCGATCCCAGACGGAAAACGTAAAGTTGATGATTTTTTTGGCGAAGTGGAAGTCTATTACCACAATGCCGAAATAGTCCTGCCCCTGGAAGCCCAGCCCGGCGTAAATACACAGATTGGCGTTAACTATCAGGGGTGTGCAGATGCGGGGCTGTGTTATCCGCCGGAAACAAAATGGTTTGCCTATGACGGCATGCGCCTTATTTCTGCGTCATTGTCGACGACTGCAGGCGCGATAGCGGCAAGTGCAGACAACATTGTCGATGCGCAGACAGCTGAAGTGACAACCTCCACCTCTGGTGTGGCCGACACAGAAGAACAACTGTTAGCAGGCATTCTTGCCAGTGAAAGTCTCTGGTACGCCCTGGCGCTGTTTTTCATTGCGGGTATCGGTCTTGCGTTTACCCCTTGTGTACTGCCGATGGTGCCTATTCTCTCCAGCATCATTGTTGGTGAAGGTGACGACATTTCGAAGCGCAAGGCGTTTACCCTGTCCTTTGCGTATGTGCTGGGCATGGCGTCGACTTACGCTCTGGTAGGCACTTTGGTTGGTCTGTTCGGGGCGGAGCTTAATCTGCAGGCAGCGCTGCAATCCCCCGGTGTGCTGATCTTTTTTGCCCTGGTTTTTGTTCTGCTGTCGCTGTCTATGTTTGGTTTTTATGAGCTGCAGTTGCCCCAGGGTCTGCAGAATCGACTAAACGCCATGGGGCAGAAGCAACAAGGCGGCAAACATGTCTCGGTGATGGTCATGGGGTCGCTGTCTTCACTGGTAGTATCCCCTTGCGTTTCTGCACCGCTGGCGGGGGCGCTGATTTATATCTCTACGTCCAATGACGCAGTTTTAGGCGGTACCGCACTGCTTGCCCTCGGTCTGGGTATGGGTGTGCCGCTGATGATTGTTGGCGGCAGCGGCGGACACTGGCTGCCGCGTGCAGGCGCCTGGATGAATGGCGTCAAAGCTGTATTTGGTGTTGGCCTGCTGGCCGTTGCCGTCTGGTTGCTGGAACGGGTTGTGCCACCGGCTGTCACCCTTGTGTTGTGGGCGGCGTTGCTGATCGGTAGCGGGGTTTATCTGGGCGTGCTCGATTTCTCTCCTCGACAAGGTTTTGCCCAGCTGGGCAAAGCGGCAGGCTCGTTAGGATTCATGTGGGGCGTTTTGCTGCTGATTGGCGCAGCCAGCGGTGCACACGACCCGCTGAAACCGTTGGCCAAATTATCTGGCGGGGGTGTCAGTGTGGGCGGTGTTGCGGTCCATGCAGAGCCTCAGTGGCAAGCGGTTAAAAGTCTTGCGGATGTAAAGGCGCAGATTGCCGTGAGCAACAAGCCGGTGATCCTCGACCTTTACGCTGACTGGTGTATTTCCTGCAAAGTTATGGAGCGCAATGTCTTTCCTGAAGCCGCAGTGGCTGCTCGACTCAACCAGTTCACTCTGCTGCGTGCGGATGTGACTGACAACGACGCGATAGATCGTGAGTTGCTGAATTACTACGGCCTCTTTGGCCCGCCCAGTCTGGTCTTTTTCGAAGGAGAAGGCGGTGAGTTAACAGATGTTCGTATCCAGGGTGAGGTCAATGCGGAAACGCTGGCTGCTCATCTCGGTGCGGTTTTAGCTTCTCTAAATGCAGGAAGACTTGGTAACGTCGGCGAAATAGCAGCCATTTCCGGCTAAAATTGCGTTAATCAGGTCTGGTCGTGTTGGTTGAGAGCGAATAAGCGCTTGATTCTCCTAAGTGATCCTCCAAAATGCCTCATTTTGTTTCGGGTGAGCTTAAAATGCCTTCGATTCTGGTGCTACACGGTCCTAACTTAAATCTGCTCGGTTCTCGTGAACCCGAAGTGTATGGCTATGACACACTGGCAGATGTGAATCAGAAGATCGTTGCGGCTGCGCCCGCTGGCGTAGACGTCAAAACTCTGCAGAGCAACGCCGAACATGTGTTAATTGATGCCGTGCACGAGGCAAAGGCCCAGGGTGTGGATTTCATCATTATTAATCCAGGCGCATTTACACATACCAGCATCGCGCTGCGGGATGCCTTTCTGGGCGTAACGATACCGTTTATAGAAGTGCACCTTTCTAACGTGCACGCGCGTGAAGATTTTCGTCAACAATCCTATCTGAGTGATATCGCCGTTGGCGTGATCACTGGCTTGGGTGCCGGCGGTTATGTTTATGCGTTGCAGGCCGCGTTGGCAAAAATGGATGCTTAATCCGTAAAAATCACAGGGGGCCCGGGTGGCAGTGGATCTACGTAAAGTCAAAAAACTGATTGAGTTAGTGGAAGAATCTGCAATTTCCGAACTGGAAGTCAGCAGTGGTGATGAATCTGTGCGCATTGTCATGCACCGGCTGCCGGCAGCTGGCACCGGGTCTGTTGCCCCCGCAGTGGTCACTGTGCAAGCGCCAAACGATACGCCAGCGTCCGGCGCTGCGCTTGAAAACTTTGTCGCGCCAATGGCCGGCACGTTCTATCGGCAATCGCATCCGGAAGCGCCTGTGTTTGTTGAAACAGGTCAGCAGGTACACGCTGGCGATGTCCTGTGCATCATTGAGAGTATGAAAATGATGCACGAAATCCGTGCTGCAAAGGATGCCTGTATCCAGCAGATCTGCGTGGCAAACGGTGAGCCCATCAGCACCGGAGATGTCCTGTTTAAGCTGTTGTGAGCTGGTTACAACTCGAACTTCGTGTTGCCCCGCTATCCCTGACTGCCAGCGAAGCTGTTTTGTTCGCAGCGGGTGCCGTTGCGATCACATTACTCAGTGATGACGATGAACCGGTTTTAGAGCCGGCACCAGGAGAAACGCCCCTCTGGTCCAGTGTGCGCGTGCTTGCCTTGCTGCCTGTAGACACCAACATGGCCGATTTACAGGTGCAGCTACAAAACCTGCCGCAAATACCACCGGTGCTGGATGTGCAGTTTATAGCTGACCAGAACTGGCAGGCTCAGGTGAATAACCATGCGGTGGATCAGGTTTTTGCGCAGCGTCTGTGGCTGTTGCCGAAGCATCAGCAGGTTGATGAGACGCTTGCGCAACGCTACACCCTGTTACGCCTGGAGCCGGGCCTGGCGTTCGGTTCCGGCAGTCACCCGACGACCCGGCTATGTCTGCAGTGGCTGGCTGAAAATATTCAGGCCGGGCAGAAAGTCCTGGATTTTGGTTGCGGCTCTGGTGTGCTGGCAATAGCGGCAGCGCTGCTGGGTGCTGAGGTGGTCGCGGTAGACCACGACCCCCAGGCAATTCTGGCGACACAGGAAAACGCGGATTACAATGGCCTAGATACTCGTCAGGTAGACGTTGTTTTGGCTGAACAGTGGCAAGCACACCTATATCCCCAACACTTTGATGTGGTGGTCGCTAATATTCTCGCTAAACCCCTGCAGGACCTGGCTGCAGAGTTTGAATCAGTTACCTTGCCCGGTGGTGCGATTGTTCTGTCGGGGATTCTGGAAGCTCAGGCCGCAGAGGTTGCCGGCAGCTATGAACAGACAACCTATGCTGAACCACGAATTGAAGCGGGTTGGGTATGTCTGGCCGGGGTTCGGGCCTGATCGCGCGGCTCATTAAAAATGTCAGAAGAAAACCTCGATCCTCTTATTACCGAATGTCCGAACTGTGACACACGTTTTCGCGTTACCGAGTCTCAGCTGCAGATTGCGGGTGGTCGAGTGCGCTGTGGAGCGTGTCTGGTGGTGTTTGATGGTACCGCTCATTTAAGCCTTGACGGTGAAGACTTCGTTACCGGTGATGAATCTGAAGATGTTGATGCGCTGCTGGATGAGCTGAATGAAATCTCTGCACGCGAACCTGCTCAGGCACCTTCGATGCCGAGTCTGTCAGAAGCAGATTTCATTCCAGTCTCTGCAGCGCAGATGGCCAGAGGGCATCCTGAAGACGCACAGGATTCAGCGGATGATGAAGCCAGCCTGCCGCCGGAATTGCTGGCATTGGAAGCCCAGTTTCTGGCCGACATGCAAAGCTCCGAGGATGCGCCGCGCAGCCAGGCAGATAATCTGCATGAAAACCCAGATGAAAAACCAGATGAAGATCTGGACGCCCCGGTAGCAGAAGCCTTTGGTATTTCTGTGGGCGAAGCGCAGCAGTTGCCGGCCACGGTGGACGAGTCTGCGACAGAAGGATCTGGGGTAGATACAGATTCTGACTGGGACGAATCTGTTGCGGAAGACATCTGGCAAACAGATGACACTCAAGCGGATGCCGCTGCAGCCGATAAACAGACGCCTGAGCCTGAGGTCGATCAGGAGATTGAACTTCAGGCGTTGCCTGGGTCCGCACCTGAAATGACTCAGAGTGAGCAGGTGTCAGGTCATCTGCCTGACTTTTCCGATGTGGAACTGGAACTCGAGCCCGATACGCCGGACAGACGTACCTGGATTACCCTGATCCTGGTGCTGTTGGGTTTGGTGGCGCTACCCGCTCAGGTGCTTTGGTTTCAGTACGATGCCTGGAGCATGAATCCGCAATATCGACCGATTTACGAAACCGTTTGCCGGGTGGCGGGGTGTGAATTGCCGCCGCTGCGCAACGTCTCCTTAATTGACGCGCAAAAATCAGTCATTCGCGTGCATCCGGAGCAACCGGATGCCCGTATTGTTGATGTGTTGATGGTTAACAACGCCGAGTTTGCGCAGCCGTATCCGTTGATCGAATTACTGGCCACAAATATGCGTGGGCAGCTGATTGCCGGGCGGCGCTTCAAACCGGAAGAATATCTGGCCGGCGAGGCAGGCGATGGCTCGTTGATGCCATCGCGTACGCCCATCCACGTGTCCCTGGAGATCCAGGACCCGGGAGAAGATGCACTGAACTTCGAAGTTAAATTTCGTTAGCTTTCAAAGTTTGCTTTGGGTGAAAAAGCGGTTGCCAAGCGGGGGCGCAGGCGGGTTTACTAGCGCTCTTTTTTAACCTTGAGAGGGTGAGTCATGTTGGGATATGTAACCATTGGTGTCTCCGATATGGATCGTGCGGAGGCTTTTTACGGGCCGCTGCTGGAGCAGATCGGCGCAAAACAACTGTTTGGGCAGGATCGCATCAAGTTTTATGGCACAGGCATGGACAGCGCGATGCTGGCGATTTGTATTCCTTACGATGAGCAAGCGCCTAATTGCGGTAATGGCAACATGATTGCGATTCCCGGCGGTTCCCGCGAAGGTGTCGATAAGCTCTACGCAAAAGCGATTGAGTTAGGCGCCAGCGATGAAGGCGAACCAGGAGAGCGGCTGCCGATTTTTTATGGCGCCTACTGCCGTGATCCAGATGGTAATAAACTCTGCTTCTACGAAATGAAAATGTAGAACATCACTATGGCGGGTAGCGTGTGAACACGCCGCCCGCCTGACCTCTTTCCTTCTGCTATCAGATTGTCATGAAAATTGGGGCCGTTGAACTTCCTAATACGTTTGCCTTAGCGCCTATGGCGGGGCTAAGCGATGTACCCTTCCGCACCATTGCCTGGCAATTGGGCCGTCCCTATCTGGTCAGCGAAATGGTATCCAGCAAAGTTGAACTCTGGGAAACGGGCAAAAGTCGTCTGCGTCGGGTGCCCGTGCCGGGTGCGACCCCGGTGGCGGTCCAGATTGCTGGTACTGACCCACAGGTTATGGCCGAAGCTGCGCAACGCCATGTCGATGAAGGCGTGGAAATCATTGATATCAATTTTGGTTGTCCGGCGAAAAAAGTGTGTCGCAAGTTTGCCGGTTCAGCTCTGCTGCAGGACCTGGATCTGCTTGGCCGCATTGTTGACGCGGTGGCCCGGGCAGTGCCGGTGCCAATAACCGTGAAAACCCGTACAGGTCTGACAACCCAGGACGATTTAGGTGTGCAGGCAGGTTGCATCGCTGTGCAGAACGGCGCGCAGATGGTGGTGATGCATGGTCGCAGCCGCGCCTGTAAGTTCAACGGACAAGCTGACTATGCTGCTGTCCGTGCGCTGAAGTCGAAGGTTGATGTACCCGTGATGGTTAATGGGGATATCAACAGCGTTGCTGCTGCGCATCAGGCGCTGGCGGATTCCAGTGCGGATGGCGTGATGATCGGTCGTGGTGCACTGGGCCAGCCCTGGTTGTTTGCTGAACTGGCGGGTAAACCGGTGCCTGATAGGCCGGGTAAGTGGCAGATCATCTGTACCCATGTAGAGTTGATGCACAGTTTTTATGGCGAACTGGCAGGCCTGCGGATTGCCAGAAAACATGTCCTGGCGTACCTGCAGCATCTGGGATTAGCCGAGCACGGCAAAGCGTTTCTGCAGGTTAGTGATGCACATGAACAGCTGGATTGGCTGTTGAGTATGAGCCGATGGGATCAGCAGGCCCGAGATGCGGCGTAACTTTGAAGGCGGGGATTGCTGCCCGAACGGCACACTTTGGAAATCGAATTGACGAACGTAAACATAAAGCGCGCGCTGCTCAGCGTTTCTGATAAAACCGGCGTTGTAGAGCTGGCAGCTGCCTTGAGCGCAGCGGGTGTAAGCCTGCTGTCGACTGGCGGCACACATAAAATTATTGCTGATGCCGGTATCCCGGTAACCGAAGTGTCTGCATACACGGGTTTTCCGGAGATGATGGAAGGCCGTGTGAAAACTCTGCATCCGAAGGTACACGGCGGTATTTTAGGCAGGCGCGATCTTGATCAGGCGGTGATGCAGGAACATGAGATCGACCCGATCGACCTGGTGGTAGTGAATCTGTATCCGTTTGCACAAACCATTGCTAAGCCTGACTGCAGCGAGGCAGATGCTATTGAAAACATTGATATTGGTGGCCCGGCAATGTTGCGTTCAGCAGCGAAGAATTTTCAGCATGTCACCGTTGTTGTTGATCCAGCCGACTATGCTGAACTGACAGCTGAGCTGGACGGCGGTATCGCGCTTGAACGGCGGCGTGCATATGCGGTGAAAGCGTATCGTCACACGGCGCAGTATGATGCGACGGTGGCGGCCTATCTCGGTGCAGATGAGCTTCTGCCGGCTTCTCTCAGTTTAAGCTTCAACAAGTTGAGCGATATGCGTTACGGCGAGAACCCACATCAACAGGCGGCGTTCTATGCTGAGGCGCTCACCCCTGCGAGTGGTCAGATTGCCAGTTATGTGCAGCACCAGGGTAAGGCGTTGTCCTATAACAATATTGCCGACACAGATGCCGCGCTGGAGTGCGTCAAAGTGTTCACCGAGCCGGCGTGTGTCATTGTGAAACATGCCAATCCCTGTGGCGTAGGTGTGGCCGAAAGTATGGAAGAAGCCTACAACAAAGCGTTTGCAACAGATCCCACCTCTGCATTTGGCGGTATTGTCGCTTTTAACCGAGCACTGGACGGCGCAACTCTTGCGCAGATACTTGAGCGGCAGTTTGTTGAAGTTGTTATCGCACCAGAAGTCAGTCATGAAGCGGTCGACGTCGCCAAAGCCAAAAAGAATGTGCGCCTGCTCAGTTGTGGCGCTTTGCGGGACGCAGGCACCCGACTCGACTTTAAACGTGTGGGTGGTGGATTGCTGGTGCAGTCGCCAGACAATTTGTGTCTGGACGAGGGTGCTCTGGCGGTTGTCACAAAGCAGCAGCCTACCGAACAACAGATGCAGGATTTACTGTTTGCCTGGAAGGTGGCCTGGTTTGTGAAATCCAATGCCATCGTGTATGCCCGGGACGGTCAGACCATTGGTGTCGGGGCCGGTCAGATGAGTCGTGTAATCAGTGCAAAAATTGCAGGTTTAAAGGCGGCTGAAGAAGGTTTGCAGGTTAACGGTGCGGTCATGGCATCGGATGCGTTTTTCCCGTTTCGCGACGGGATTGATGCTGCAGCGGAAGCGGGTATCAAAGCTGTGATTCAACCGGGAGGATCAATGCGTGATGACGAAGTCATTGCGGCTGCGGATGAACACGGCCTGGCGATGGTGTTCACCGGCGTACGTCATTTTCGCCACTAAGATGAATGTAAGCACAATCCACCGAGGATAAAGGTCTATGAAAGTTCTGGTCATAGGTTCAGGCGGGCGGGAACATGCCCTGGCCTGGAAGCTCAAACAAAGTGAAGGTGTGGAAGAGGTGCTGGTGGCGCCAGGCAATGCAGGCACAGCCCTGGAGCCCGGCGTGCGCAACGTTGACGTGCCCAGTGATGATATTGACGCATTGTTAGCGATGGCGAAGGCTGAAGGCGTAGGCTTCACTGTTGTGGGTCCGGAAGCGCCGCTGGTTGCGGGCGTGTGCGACGTTTTTAACGCCAGTGCGATGCCTTGTTTTGGTCCCAGTGCGGCAGCTGCGCAGCTTGAAGGCAGCAAAGATTTCAGCAAAGAGTTCCTGGTGCGTAATGATATTCCAACTGCCGCGTATGAAACGTTCAGTGACCTGAACAAAGCCAAAGCTTACATCCATGCGCAAGGCGCACCTATTGTTGTCAAAGCTGATGGCCTGGCCGCAGGCAAAGGTGTGGTGGTGGCAACCAGCGAAGAACAGGCTTTGGCGGCAGTGGAAGATATGCTGAGCGGTAATGCGTTTGGCGAAGCAGGCGCCACAGTTGTGATAGAAGAATTTTTAAGTGGTGAAGAAGCCAGTTTTATCTGTTTATGTGATGGTAAAACCGCGGTGCCGTTTGCCTCCTCCCAGGATCATAAAGCGATTTTCGACGGTGACAAAGGTCCCAACACAGGTGGCATGGGTGCTTACTCACCTGCTCCGGTGATAGACGATGCGCTGCACGAGCGGATCATGGCTGAAATTATAGAGCCCACCCTCGCTGGCATGGCTGCAGACGGTATCCCCTATGTGGGATTCCTCTACGCGGGGCTGATGATCTCTTCAGACGGTGATCCGAGAGTGATTGAATTTAACTGCCGCTTTGGCGATCCGGAAGCTCAGCCTGTGATGATGCGTTTGCAGTCGGATCTGCTGGCTGCCTGCCAGGCCGGCCTGGCTGGAGAGCTGGCGCACTTCAATCTGAGTTTTGATCCTCGGGTGGCCTTAGGAGTGGTTATGGCAGCCGGCGGTTACCCGGGAAGTTATACAACCGGCGATCAAATCAGCGGGCTGCAGAAAGAACTCCTGGATACCAAGGTATTTCATGCCGGCACCCGACTTGAGGACGGCCATGTTGTAACCAACGGCGGCCGCGTGCTCTGTGTTGTCGGCATGGGGCAAACGGTGGCCAACGCCCAGGCGCGGGCCTACGAGCGCATTGAGAATATCGGCTGGCGTGGTCGCTATTTCCGCAAAGATATTGGCTATCGCGCAGTCGATCGAGACTAGATCCCTCAGCACAATCCGTTAATGGCTGCTGAGCAGGCAGCTGCTGTTGCTGCAAGCTGTGGCTATGTTAGTGCAGCAATTTTTACGAATCCCCGAATTCGAACAGACTCCCAAAGCTGAAATTCAGGCGTTGGTGCAATGCGCAAGGGTGTTGTGCCTGCCCGCGCAACGGTGGTTGCTGCGGGATGGTCGCAAGCTGGATGCCTTTCTGTATCTGCTGGAGGGTTCAATTGCTGTAGGACGTGAGTATCGGGTAGCCCGTGCCGAGGGGCCACTGCGGCACTTTTATCCCGGTGGCACCAATATCCGCACCCGAACTCCGGCTCGGGTGTTGTGGGTGGATGCTGCGCAGCATGAGTTTCTCAGCCGACGTGCGCAAGCGATGGCATCAATTGATGCCCCCACAGATACACAATGGCTGGAAAATTTTCTGAACTCAAAGATGATGCAACGCCTGCGTCCAGGTTACTGGCAGCGGCTGGTGCAATCCTTCTGTCCCCGACATTACCGTGCCGGTGAAAGCGTTATCGAGAAAGGTGCCAGGGGCGATGTCTGTTTTGTTATTCAGCAAGGGCATGTTGTGGTGCACGATGGTGCGCATACCTTATGTCATCTTGGTCCGGGTGATTTTTTTGGCGAAGATGCTCTGGTAACCGGTGCCTGCCGCAATGCCTCAGTTACCACCCTGCAGCCAGCGATTGTGCAGTGCATTGATAAACGTGTGTTCATTCACCTGTTACTCGAGCAGGTGATTGAATTTGTTAATGCGCAAAATGGTGGTCAGCTTTTACGCTTAGCTGACGGCTGTAAATCTGCCGGGGGTGTGGCTCTGGTCGATCTGCGGGATCATATTCAGAGGCTGGATGGCAAAACCAGATATTATGTTGGAGGGGGTACTCGGGCTCAGCGCGCATTAGCAGCCTTGTTGCTTATACAGCAGGGTTATACAGCTTTTCCGCTCGCGCGCGACGGGTAGGACATTTCCACAACACCAGCTATGCGGGAATGGTGCGATCTTTTGCCCAGGTGCGCAGTGACTGTATGCTTTCCCCGCGCAGTACCGATATAGGGTAGGTACGATCCAGTGCGGACTTGATATCACTCTGGGTGATTTTGCCATCTCGCGCAGCGGCCAGATACCGGGCGGATACAATGGCTTCTTCGATTTCAGCGCCGGTGAAATCCTGTGCTGTCTGCGCCAGGGCCGGCAGGTCGAATTCGGCTGGGTCGAGGTCGCGTTTAGCCAGGTGAATGCGGAATATCTCCTGGCGTATTTCTGCATCGGGCAGATCCACAAAAAACACTTCGTCGAGCCGCCCTTTACGCAACAGTTCTGGCGGCAGTCCAGTAATATCGTTAGATGTCGCAACGATGAATACGGCCTTGTCGTTCTCGGCCATCCAGGTAAGCAGGGTGCCCAGAATACGCTGCGAAGTGGCGTTGTCACTTTGTCCGGTTGCCAGACCTTTTTCGATTTCGTCCATCCACAAAACACATGGGGCCATGAGTTCAGCCTGTTTCAGTGAGTTGCGCAGGTTGCGTTCAGTCTCACCGAAATATTTGTTGTAGAGGCTGCCAAAATCAAGGCGCAACAATGGGATAGACCAGAAGCCGGCCACGGCTTTTGCTGCCAGGCTTTTGCCGCCGCCCTGGACGCCAAGCAGCATGACCCCTTTGGGCCGATCGACCTGATTCTCAAGGAGCGCATCTCTGCGCAGCTTGAGCCACTGTTTCAGGTTGGTCAGGCCCGCCACATTGGAAAAACGTTCTGTGTCATATTCGAAGTGCAGGACGCCTTCACCATCCATCAGGTCGAATTTGAGTTTGTTGATGCCTGGAATGTCGGAATCCGTGATTGCGCCGTCTCCAAATACTGCATGTCGGATCAGTACCTGAGCGTCAGCGTGCGAGACACCACGCAGGTTGGCGATCAGTTTTTTCAGCGTGCGGCTGTCGGTACGCACCTTCTGGCCGCGGTTCTGCTCAGCCCATTCCTGGGCCTGGCTACGTACCATAGCCATCAGTTCTTCATCGCTGGGCAGTCTGAGGGTCAGATTTGCGGACATGCGCGATATTTCTGCAGGGATATCCAGTTTGTGGCTGACCAGTACAACGGTGTTCTGGTTGGTGTCGTAGTTAAGGCCAATGTCTTTTAGGTAGCGAATGTTTTTTGGTTCACCGTTCAGATACGGATGGAAATCACACACGACGTAGAGCGCGGGACCGGGTTGTTCTGCTATGTGCTTCAGCAGCGCTTCCGGTTCGGTAAAATCTTGGTTTTTATCATCTGGACGTGCACCAAAGCCGCCCAACTGCAGCCCGCGCGTTACGCTCCATTCATAGAAGCTGAGGCCGCGCTGGATAGCACTTTGCAGCAACAGCGCCAGCACCCGGCGTTCGTCAGGGGATTCGATGCCAATGATGGGAATCTTGGCATCCAGTAAAACAGCGAGATCTTTTGTATCGGCCATGACCGGATTATAGGTAATGGGATGGGTTCTGGCGGGGAGATGTGTCGCAAAACCCCTGTTAAACTACAGGTTCAAATCTAATGAAGAGAGACCATGTCGAATCCTGTCGACAACCTAGTTCTTGGCCTTGATCGGGCGCTGCGCACTCTGTCTGGTGCGTACAGTGCACAACGTCCCAATCCCGGCGCAGATGCCGCGCAACTGGAACTTGATGAGGCGCAGCGTAAACATGCCGCAGGTCTGATGCGCGTGAATCACACCGGCGAAATCTGTGCCCAGGCGCTCTATGAAGGCCAGGCGCTGACAGCTAAATCGGACCAGGCACGCAAAACGCTGTTAGACGCGGCGTCGGAAGAGCGTGATCATCTGGCCTGGTGCCGAAGTCGCCTGGATGAACTGGACGCGCAGCCGAGTCTGTTAGCACCACTGTTTTATGGTGCTTCTTATGCGATGGGCGCGCTGACCGGACTTGCTGGTGATAAGGTCAGTCTGGGCTTTGTTGAAGCCACTGAGGATCAGGTGGTGGCGCATCTGGATCGACACCTTGAAGAACTGCCTGCTGCTGACCATAAAAGTCGCGCCATTCTCGATCAGATGCGCGAAGACGAAGCCATCCACGGCGAACAGGCACTCGAACAGGGCGGTGAAGTCTTTCCAGCACCGGTTAAGCAGGTGATGTCTCTGATATCGAATATCATGACACGTACCACGTATCGAATTTAGCCGCTACGCTTCTACCTGCTGTATATCAAAGGTGTGGGTGATTTCTACGCCCGCACGTTGCAGCATGATGGAGGCTGAGCAGTATTTCTCTGCAGTGAGCGCAATGGCCCGCTCCACCCGGGCTGCATCCAGGTTGTCCCCTTCGATGGCAAAGTGAATGTGGATGGTTTCAAAAACCTGTGGGACTTCATCTGCTCGTTTTGCTGTGATTTCGGTCACACAATTGGTCACTTTCTGACGAGATTTGCGCAGAATATTCACCACATCAAAAGATGTGCATCCCCCTACACCCATCAGCATGAGTTCCATCGGGCGAGCGCCAAGATTTTCACCCCCTGAATCAGGTGGGCCGTCGATTGATACTTCGTGTCCGGAGTCCGCAATCGCGGTGAAATGGACATTGTTCTGCCATTGTATTTTTGTGTGCATGTAATGGTTTTACGTGTTTAGTTTTGTAAAGACGAGACATTTTCGAGGAAAAACCAGTGAACTGCGACCGTTTGGAGTGTGAAAAAGTGCCGTTTGTCGACCGTGTCTCGTAACACATCACATTTCTCACCTAGTATTTAATTCACGCACAGAGTTACGAAGGAGCGCAACCGATGCTAGCAACGAAGAACAATCAAATGGGCCGTCCGCTAACCGCTAAGGGATTTCAAATGAATTTGAATGCCGAGGCCAGCAATACGCATCTTGATGCGTTTCTCGCTGCGGCCCACCGCCGTAAATATCCCGCTAAAAGTACTCTGATTTACGCAGGGGACAAAAGCGACTCGATCTATTTCATCCTTAAGGGTTCCGTTACCGTTCTTGTAGAGGACGAGTCTGGTAGAGAGATTATTGTCGCCTACCTGAACAAAGGCGATTTTTTCGGTGAGATGCCACTTTTTGTAGACGACACACCACGATCAGCCTGGGTTAAAGCCAAAAGCGAATGTGAAGTGGCTGAGCTGTCATACAACAAGTTTAAAGAGTTGGCGGAACGCCACACAGATCTGCTTTATGCGGTTGGCAAGCAGATGGCGGAACGGCTGAACAAAACCACCCAGAAAGTCAGTGACCTTGCGTTTCTGGATGTCACCGGTCGCGTTGCACGGACTTTGTTAGAGCTGACCAAACAGCCTGATGCCATGACGCACCCGGATGGTATGCAAATCAAAATTACCCGTCAGGAGATCGGCCGCATTGTCGGGTGTTCTCGTGAAATGGTGGGCAGAGTGTTGAAGACACTGGTGGATCAAGGATTGGTCTCTGTGAAAGGTAAGACCATGGTGGTGTACGGTACTCGTTGAGAAACGGGTACTCGTTGAGAAACGGGTACTCGTTAGTATCTAGAAACCAGAAAAGTTACACACGGATGTGTAAAGTGCGGACCGCTAAGGCGGTCCACTGGAGTAAAAGTCAAACTCGAAAGGGATGGCTATTTACGTAGAAAAGGGCTCAATTGAGCCCTTTTTCTTTGCCTGCTTTTTGTTCGTTTAGTAAAACAGATCGCGCAGCGCCTGCCCTGGGTCATCTGCGCGCATAAATGTTTCCCCAACAAGAAAGCAATAAACGCCATGGCTGTTCATCAAGCTGATGTCTTCTGCTGACCGTATGCCGCTTTCTGTCACGACAGTAATATTGCCGGGTATGTGTGGCAGCAGGTCAGTGGTGTTAGTCAGCGAGGTTTCGAAAGTTTTCAGGTTCCTGTTGTTGATACCGATCAGTGTGGGCTGCAGGCTCAGCGCCGCCTGCAATTCGCTGAGGTTGTGTACTTCGATCAATACGTCCAGGCCGATGCCTTTTGCCGTTTGATTGAGCACCGTCAGCTGCATGATATTTAAAGCAGACGCGATCAACAGAATACAGTCAGCGCCCAGGGCTTTGGCTTCATACACCTGGTATTCGTCAATGGTGAAGTCTTTGCGAATGATCGGCAGGTTGGTCACTTCCCGAACGTCTCGCAGATACTGGTCGCTGCCCTGGAAGTAGGATTCGTCGGTTAATACGGACAGGCAGGTGGCGCCATGGCGGGTGTAACTCTCTGCGATGGCAACTGGGTCAAAGTCTTCGCGGATAACCCCTTTAGAGGGTGAAGCCTTTTTAATCTCGGCAATGACCCCGGGTTTTTTCTGTTCAGCAGCCCGTTGCAGAGCTGCGCAGAATCCGCGTGCGGGTTGAACAGTTTCGCTTTGTTGCTGCAGGTCTGTTAATGAAAGTTGCAGTTTACGTGCTTCAACTTCCTCGTGTTTGGTGGCGATGATGGTGTCGAGAATGGTGCTCATTGTTCAGTCATCATCCGGGTTATTCTGACAAGTTCGTCAAAACGTTCCTTAGCAAGGCCTGCGGCGATGGCATCCTGAGCCATCAGCACGCCGTTCTTCAGGGAGGTGGCAACACCGGATACGTAAATTGCGGCGCCTGCATTCAGGCTGACAATGTCGGCGGCCGCTGAGTCTGCTGATGTTAATGATTGTTTTACCAGCTTCAGGCTGCTTTCTGTGGAGTCTGCGCACAGATCATTGACGGCAGACGTGGAAATGCGCTCCAGGCCAAAGTCTTCAGGCGCAATGTCATACTGTTCAATGGCGCCATTGCGCAACTCGACAACAGAGGTAGGGGCGTCTAAGCGTATTTCGTCAAGACCATTACTGTGGACAATCATGGCGTGTTCGGTACCCAGCAGGTGCAGTACCTGGGCCATCCGCGTCTGCCATTGGCTGTCAAAAACGCCGATGACCTGACGCTTGGCGCCGGCGGGATTTGTCATCGGCCCTAACACATTCATCATGGTGCGCACGCCAATTTCCTGTCTGACCGGGCCTGCGAAACGCATGGCGCTATGGTGAGCTTGGGCGAACATGAAGCCGACACCCACATCCATAATGCATGTGGCGATCTGCTCTGGTGTTAACGTCAGCGCAACGCCGGCTGCTTCGAGAACGTCCGCGCTGCCGCAGAAGCTTGTCATTTTTCGATTGCCATGTTTCGCGACCTTGGCGCCCGCTGCTGCAGCAACAAATGCAGCGGCGGTGGAAATGTTGAACAGCTTGCTGCCGCTGCCTCCAGTACCGCAGGTGTCCACCAGGTTTGGATGGCTGACGTTCACCTTGGTAGACAGGTTGCGCATTGTCATAGCGGCACCAGCAAGTTCTTCAGCAGTTTCACCTTTGAGGCGCATGCCTACCAGGAAGGCACCTATCTGAGCGGGTGTGGCCTCGCCTGTCATGATGGTATGAAATACTTCCGCGGTGGCCTCCTGATTGAGATCTTTGCCACTAACAATATCTTCTAGAGCCTGGTTCAGGTTCATAACACGGGTCCGTCTGATTGCAGAAAGTTGTTGAGCAGATCATGGCCACTCTGGGTCATGATCGACTCGGGGTGAAACTGAACGCCTTCTACCGCGAGCGTCTTGTGCCGAAAGCCCATGATCTCATGAACTTCACCTTCTTTTTCCGTCCAGGCGGTCATTTCAAGACAATCCGGAAGAGAGTCTTTTTTCACAATCAGCGAATGATAGCGCGTGGCTTCAAAAGGATTGGGTAGACCTTTGAAAACCCCGATGCCGTTGTGATGAATCATAGAGATTTTGCCGTGCATCACGTCTTCAGCACGCACCACTTCGCCACCAAAAGCCTGGCCAATACTCTGATGCCCCAGGCAAACACCCAGCAGGGGTATTTTGCCGGCAAAGGTGCTGACCACCTCCAGCGAGATGCCTGCCTCGTCAGGCGTGCACGGCCCGGGAGAAATCACAATTTTCTCTGGCGCCATTTTTTCAATGTCCGCGATGCTGATTTCATCATTACGGAATACTTCAACCTCCGCGCCAAGCTCACTTAAATACTGGACGATGTTATAGGTGAACGAATCGTAATTATCGATCATGAGGATCATCAGGTTTTCTCCCTGGTTGGAGGGTCATCGGAAGAGAAGTTTTCCAGTCGGGCTTGGACCCGGGCCAATGCGGTCTGGGTATCTCGCAGTTCGCGCAGAATTTCATCTGAGGTAGGTGGTGTGCTGAGTTCCTTTAAACGTTCGGCTTTGGCTTCGTCCAGGTTATTGATGACAACCGCAATGAACAGGTTCACCACAACAAACGTGCCCAGTACAACAAAACTCACAAAGTACATCCAAGCCCAGGGTTTGACCGCCATGGCTGCATACATGATGTCAGTCCAGTCCTCTAAAGTGACAATTCTGAACAGCGATAACAGCGCAATGCCCAGGGTATCCCAATGCGTAGGATCAACGTCGTGGAAGAGGTGATAGCCCGCAACGCCGTACACGTAGAAAATGATCGACATAAGCATCAACACATGGCCCATGCTTGGAATTGAGCGGACCAGCGTGGCGACAATCAGGCGCAGTTCCGGCAGGGTGGATATCAGTCTCAGTACACGTAACAAGCGTGCCAGCCGTGCAAGTGTTGCCAGTTGGCCGGTTGCTGGAATCAGGCTGATGACGATGATGGTGAAGTCAAAAATATTCCAGCCGTCTTTGAAGTAGCGGGTGATTTTGGGGTATTCGGCCGCCATTTTAATGAGCGCTTCAATGATATAGATGGCCAGGAAAACCTGGTTGGCAATCACAAATAACCAGTGATAACTGTCGTAAAGCGTTTTAGAGGTGTCCAGGCCAATGACAATGGCATTGAGCACAATCACCACAGTAATGGAGTTGGTAAACCAGTTGCTTGCGACAATGTGGCGTGCCCAGATCACACGTATTCCTGTAACTCAGTTGAAGGGAAATCCCGTCGGCTAGTGTGCATCAGCGAAAATTTTCAGTCGATCAGATCGCGGAACTGATTTTCTGCCATCGCGGCGGCGCGAAAAATAGCACGGCCTTTGTTGAGGCTTTCTTTCCATTCAAGGCGTGGTACCGAGTCGGCAACAATGCCGCCGCCGGCTTCTATGTACAGCTTGCCGTCTTTGACCACAGCGGTGCGAATGGCAATGGCAGTGTCCATGTTGCCGTTCCAGGCAAGATAGCCAACCGCACCGCCGTAGATGCCTCTTTTTACCGGCTCCAACTCGTCGATGATCTCCATCGCGCGAACTTTTGGCGCGCCGGACAGGGTGCCGACGGGTAATGTTGCGCGCAGCAGATCCATGGCGGTTTTACCCGGCTTCAGCGTGCCTTCAACATTGGACGAAATATGCATGACATGGGAGTAGCGTTCGATTACAAACTGCTCGGTGACTTCCACTGAGCCGGATTCGGCAACGCGCCCCACGTCGTTGCGACCCAGGTCGATGAGCATCAGGTGCTCCGCAATTTCTTTTGGGTCAGCCAGCAGTTCTTCTTCCAGTGCCAGGTCTTCAGCATCTGTGTGGCCACGGCGGCGGGTACCGGCCAGTGGGCGGTTGGTGATGCGACCATTTTCCAGGCGCGCCAGAATTTCTGGCGAGGAACTGACAATCTGAAAATCACCAAGGTTCATGAAGTACATGTACGGTGAAGGATTTAAGCTGCGCAGCGCGCGGTACAGATTTATCGCGGGCGAGGCAAAAGGAATCGACATGCGCTGGGCCAGAACCACCTGCATGACATCGCCCGCCCGGGTGTATTCCTTAATCTGTTCCACCGATTCTTTAAAAGCGGCTTCGCCAGTTTCAGAAATAAAATCCGATTCTTCGATATTCTGATTGGCCTGGCTAACTGGAATTTTCGGCGTTGCCTGGGCCAGCGTGCGTACCCGAGCCTGAAGTTTTTCTCTGGTTTGTTCTATCAGACCGTCCACGTTTGGATCGACCAGGCTCACCAGTTGCATGCGGCCTTTCACGTTGTCAAAAATAACCACTTCTTCGCTGACCATCAGCAGAATATCAGGGGTTTTCAGTGGGTCCGGGGGCGTGGTGTGTTTAAGTCTTTTTTCCACATAACGCACGGTGTCATAACCAAAATATCCGACCAGGCCACCGTAGAAGCGCGGCAGATCAGGTCGTTCCTCGACTATATAGCGTGCCTGGAACTGTTCGATGAAGGTCAGCGGATCATCCGTGGAGATCTGCTCTATGACCTTGCCATTGTGGGTTACCGTGATGTCGTCGCCGCGAACCGTGAGGAATGTTCTGGCAGGCAGGCCGATGATGGAATAGCGCCCCCATTTTTCGCCACCTTGCGAAGATTCCAGCAGATAGGAGTAAGGCCCGTCCGCCAGTTTAAGATAAACAGACAGCGGCGTGTCCAGGTCGGCCAGAGTTTCAACTACAACCGGCGTACGGTGGTAAGTGGGAGTTGCGTCAGTCATGGGTGTGCCTTAAGAAAGAATCAGGAAAACGGAGCGATGTGCTGATGCACATGTGGCGTGCTGGCGCACGCAGGATGCGGCTATCGCCATCCCTCATCGAAACAATTGATTCTATCTCTGTCTACTTGACTGTTCATCGCGGCGAAGCCTAGCACGGTAAAAGTGGCCAAGGCAAAGCTGCATGCAGGTTTATCCAACGGTTTTTATGCTGCTCGACGACGGCAAATCTACCTCGGGCCAGCTTTCAATAATTTCATCGTTGGCGGGCAGTTTGCTGATCTGGCGTCGTTTCAAAGCCATGAAAACCGCGGGTACCATGTACAGCGCAATGATGGCTGAGCCACCTACGCCGCCGGCAATGGCTGTTGCCAGTGGCGGCCAGAAAGTGCCGCCATCCAGAATCAGCGGCACAAAGCCGCCGATGGTGGTGACGGTGGTGGAGACAATATGGCGGGTGGCGTCGACCACAACATCCGCGGTGCCTTCGATGTCTCCCGCCAGAGCCACAGGACTGGCTTTCAAGGCTGACAGAACAATAATGGCGCCGTTAATTGCCAGGCCCATCATACCCAGGGCACCAATCAGTGCCATATAACCAAACGGGTAACTGAACAACCGCACACCAAACAAGGCCAGGCCGAAGCTCAAAATGGCCACAGTGCCAATCAGTGCGGCATAGCGGAACGAGTTGAGGGACAGAATGACCACGGCAGCCATGGCCATGGCAAAAAACAGAAATACCGACATGATATTGCCGATGGATTCCGAACTGTTTTCTGCTTCGCCGCCAATCTGCAGGCGGTAACCTGCGGGCAGCTCAAAGCCTTGTGTCTCGATTTTTTTGCGGAACTCGGCCAGCACACCCGCGGGTAAGGTGAACGGCACCAGATACCCCTGCACGGTGGAGATACGTTCACCCTGTCGGCGGTCAATCGCCGATGCGGTGGGTATCATTTCCCAATGTCCCAGCTCATCCAGTGGCACACCGCGCCCGCCGTTTGTAAGCATGGGCAGGGTGGCCAGGTCGACAATTTCGTTTCGATATTGATCCGCCACGCGCACGCGAACGGGCAGTTCTGCAGTACCTTCCTGAACGGTACCCGCCAGATCCCCCATCAAGGCAGAGTTGAGTCGGCGGGAAAGTTCCCCCGTCGACATGCCGGCGATGGCAGTGGCATTTTCGTTGGGTATAAACGAAAGCTTGGGTTCCGAGGTGGACAGCGTTGCCCGGGTATACGTGACTTGACCAACTTCCGCGAGAATGCGTCGCAAATGCTCCGCGTTTTCACGCAGGACGTTGAGCTCCGGACCAACAATACGCACTTCAATCGGGGCATCGCTGGGTGGACCCTGTTCAAACGGAATGGCCAGTACTTCTGCCTGCGGCAGAGCCTCAGAAAGAGCTTGTTGAATATCCGGTAAAATGTCGTGGGTCGCCTGTGCGGATGTTGTGTTCACCCAGGCGGATGCGTAACTGACAACCCGTTCATTCAATGAAACCACATTGTAAAAAACCCTTGGTGCCCCCTGTCCAATGCTCCAGAAGCTGTCGGTGACCTCGGGATCAGCGCGCAGGATGTCATCGGCGATGGCAACGGCTTCGCGGGTCTCCCAGATGGATGCCTGTGCGGGTAGCGACAGTTGTACCTGAAATTGATTGCGGTCAACGGGTGGGAAAAACTGATTGGTGAGCGTGGGCGCCAACGCAAAACCGATGACGGGTAAAATGCAGGCAACGCCAATACCCAGCCAGGGTTTCTTCAGAGTTGCGACGATCGTCGCGCGATAACGTGCGGTCAGGGTTTTGTTACTGAAGCCCGATTGCCACCAACGATGACCTTCATGCATAGGCCATTTATTTTCCAGGAACCCGGCAACCGTTGGCACGATGGTCATTGCCAGGATAAATGAACTGGTGACAGACAGTGCCACGGTGACACCGATGGTGCCGGTAAAGTCGCCGACGCCGCCCGGTGCCAGGGCGATAGGCATAAACGCAAACACGGTGGTTGCAGTGGACGCGCCCAGCGGGATCAGCAGGTGTTTAATGGCTTTGCTGATGGCTTCTGGAATGTCTTCGCCGTGTCTGCGGCGCAATTTGTAGTCTTCAACCACAACAATGGCGTTATCAATCAGTAGTCCCAGGGAAATGATCAGGCCGGTAACCGACATCTGATGCAAAGGGATATCCATCAGCTGCATGCCGAGGAGCACCATGCCACCGGATAGTGGCAACGCAATGCCCACGGTAAACGCCGAGCGCACGCCCATGAACCAGACCAGAACCAGCATCACGATGACCAGTGCAAACATCAGGTTTGTACCTAAAGACTGCATGCGCTCGCCGGTGTACTGATTCTGGTTGTAAACGATATCTAAACCAATTTCGCCGGGCAGGGATGCCTTGAATCTGCTGACCACTTCAAGCGCGTTTTCAGTCCAGCTTTCAACCTGCAGCCCACCCTGCATCTTGGCGTTCACCAGCACCACCTGTTCGTCGCCGTTGAACGCCAGGGAGTCAGGTGGGTTTACCTGTGACTTCTGTACCTGCGCGACATCAGATACCCGCAGGACGTTGCCACTGGGTGTAATCGCTAACGGAATGCGAGCGATACGCTCCGGCGAGGAGAGTTCAGCCTCTACTTCAACCAGCATATCGGTGGTGTTGGATCGCAGTCGCCCGGAGGGTAATTTGGTATCTGCCGAACGGATACTGGCAGCCACCTGCGCGGCGGATATATTGGCGCTGGCCAGTTTGTAAGGGTCGATAGAGATCAGTAGTTCTTCTTCGGCATCTCCCCAGGATTCCGCAATTTCGGTGCCTGGCATGTTGGCCAGCTTAAGACGCAGGGATTCAGCCAGGCGTGACAAAATGCCCTGCTGCATCGGTGAGTCCTGCAGCCAGCGCAGGGCGATGATCATGGTCGATGCCAGCGGTTTATTAATGATCAGTTCCGGCTCGCTGCTGCCGGTGGGTAAGGTGGCGCTCACTTCGCCTAACTTGTCGCGGACCTCGGACCAGATGGCGTCCACCTGATGGGCTTCGATGCTGTCATAAAGCTCCACGCTGACCACTGATAAGCCGGCTTTTGACGTGGAAGAGATTTCCTTGATCTCCGGCACTTCGCGCAGCGCGGTTTCAATCGGTTCACTGACCAGAGATTCCATCCGCTGAGCAGTTGCGCCTGCCAGAAATGTATTCACCCTGGACCAACGCTCGGTCATGGTCGGGTCTTCCTGTCGTGCCAGGCTGTTGTAAGCCATGCCGCCCATCACGATAATGAACAGTACAAGCAGTGCCGCGAGACGCGGATTGGCGTAAAACGCGTTAGCCCGCATAGCTCACCTGCGTGATTGCCACTGGGTTAACAACCTGACCTGGGACGATACGCTGGACTCCGGTGGCAACAACCCGGTCGTCTGTCTTTAGTGTGCCTCGAACAAACACGCGATCTGCTTCGCTGTGTACAATTTCAATCAGGCGACGCTCAACAATCTGTTCTGCGTTAACGACGTACACCCCCCACAGGCCCCTGTCAGCTTCTGTTAGCGCGCTCAAAGGCAGCCAGAAACCGGGAGCGTCGACAGCCTCGTTGATTGCTACCTCCACGGTGGAACCCAACGGTATATCGATACCGGCGAGCGTAAATACTGCGGTTAAAGTTCGCGTGGCGGGATCTACTTCCGGTAGCACCGCATCGAGGCTGGCTGCGTAGGTCTGGTTCTGCCAGCTCACCTGATAGGTTTGTCCCGGCATCATGCGTTTGGCGATGTCTGCGGGGATGCCGACGTGGGCTTCCCGGTGTGCATCTTCCACCAGGCGCAGAGCCGCCTCGCCGGAACGAATCTGTGTGCCTTCATCTACGTAGCGCGCCTGAATCGTGCCTGGGAAGGGTGCTCGGATCACAGCTTCGCGCAGTTCAACTTCCACGCTTTGTTGTTCTGCCAGAGCGCGTTCCAGATTGGCGCGGGCGACGTTGAGCTGTGCTTGTTTGGCGCGCAACGTCAGTCGCGTCTCGTCATAAACCTGAACCGAAGCGTGGCCTTGCTCACGCAGGGTGCGGAAACGCTGTTCCGTGTTGGTTGCCAGTTCTGCTTCAGCGACCAGCGCCTCGAGATTTGCGCGCGCAAGAGATACCTCGGCGGCAGCTTGTGTCAGCTGTGCATTAATGGACGCTGTGTCGAGTTTGGCCAGGGTGTCACCCTTAGCCACAACATCCCCCTGATCCACCTGCATCTCGGTAATCTCGCCACCACGCTTGAATCCCAGTTCCGCTGCCCGTGTGGCCGCTGTGCGGCCTGCGTAAACGCGATTGGACTGGTAGCTTTGCTCGGCAACCACATTAAAAACGCTGACGTTGATCTCGGCATGGGCTGAGCTGGCGAATATCAACAGGCCCACTTGAAAGAGGATGGCCAGTGCGGCGATGAGGCTGATACGGCGCCAGTTGTCTGAGAAATTCCGTCGAAACGTTCGTGCGTGCACGGTTGTACTCCAAATCCGATGTTTACATCGCTAACATTGTTTGCAATGCTAACTTTTATGTAAGCGATGTCAACATAGCTTTAGTGAATCATGCGTGAAAACAGCGGTAATAGCGCGTGCAGAACTGCACCGTTCGGCTAATAATCGCAGTAGACAAAGGTGGTGAGCGAGATGTACCTAAAAAACAGGCCAGTAAGCTGTCATGAGTGGTGACACTCAGATTGAATCCAAGGCTGGCTATCACCACGGTGAATTGCCCGCTACCTTGATGGCGCTGGCCGTGCAGCATATAGAAGCGGGTGGCACGGAAAAGCTCAGCCTGCGGGCTCTGGCGCGTGAAGCTGGCGTATCTCCCACCGCCCCCTATCGTCATTTTCCAACTAAACAATGTCTGCTTGCGGCGCTGGCGACTCAGGGTTTTGAACAACTGCAGGAGCGCACGCTGAAAGCGCTGCACTCCGGTGGCTCAACGGATGAGCGTTTTATCCAGCTGGGTGAAACGTATATTGGCTTCGCGCTGGAAAATCCGACAGCCTATCGACTGATGTTTGGCTCGGTGCTGGGTGATTTCTCGGAGTATGAAATGCTGCGGGTGGCTGCTGAAGGCTCTTATCAGCCGGTGCAGGAGTTGTTGCAGGAGTTGATCGACGACAAAAACCTCGCCCAGGATGTGGTGCTGTTAGGTGGTGTTGTCTGGTCGGGAGTGCATGGCATGGCCTCCTTACTGATAAACGACATGGACAAAGGTGATAGTGGTCATGTCACCCGTCCCGGGCAGTCAGTGCGCGCCCTGCGCAGCAATCTGCGGGCGTCGCTACAACTGATGTTTGCCAATCTGTTTGGTGGCAGCGCCAGCGACCTTTCAGTCTAACAATTCCAAAAAGCTGTCGATAACACCTGTTGCACCCAGGGTAGTAACGTCCACACCGTGGTTGTAGCCATCTCGCACGCAGACGACGTCTACGCCGGCCGCGAGCGCAGCGTTGACGTCGGTATCAGAATCTCCCACAAACAGAGTTTGTCTGGCGGTTAAGCCAAACGCCTGTAAACAAAGTCGCACTGGCGCCGGGTCGGGCTTGGGCGCATTGGCTGTGTCACCACTGACAATCAGATCAAAATACGTGGCCAGGCCAATATCCGCCAACAGAGGCTCGCTCAGTTCGGCCAGTTTATTAGTCACTACAGCAAGCTTGGTACCGCTGGTTTTCAGTTGTTTAAGGGTTTGCTCAACACCGGGGTAAATCTGGCTATGGGTTGCCAGGTTGTGGCGGTAGTGGTGTAGAAAATCTTCCAACAATGGTTCTATGTCGTGCTCGGGTTGCGCCAGATAAGCCAGTGCCTGACTAATCAGCGTGCGGGAGCCGTGGCCTACCCAGTGTCTTGTAAGGCTGATATCCACACTATCAAGGCCGGCGTTGTGCAGGCTGACGTTAAGCGCTGCATTGATGTCCGGAGCAGTGTCAACCAGAGTGCCGTCCAGATCGAACAGATAACCTTCATAGCCTGACCAGACGTCCAAAATGTCTGCTCTTAAACCCTGGTCGCCAGCGCGATCTGTTGGCGCATTTCTGCGATCGTTGCCGCGTAATCCGGGCTTGCAAAGATAGCCGTACCCGCAACAAACGTGTCTGCGCCGGCGGCTGCCGCCGCGCCGATGTTGCTGGGTTTGATGCCGCCGTCAATCTGCAGTCGAATCTCGTGATCTGCCTTGTCGATGATACTTTTCACTCGTGCAAGCTTGGTTAGAGAAGATGGGATGAAGCTCTGCCCGCCAAAACCCGGATTCACCGACATGATCAGTACCAGGTCTATACAGTCGAGAACTTCGTCTAACACTTCCAGTGGAGTAGCCGGGTTCAGAACAAGACCTGCTTTGGCTTTGCCTGCGCGTATCATTGCCAGGGTGCGGTGCAGGTGCTCGGTAGACTCCGGATGTACAGAGATATAGGCGGGTTGAGAGTCCAGAAATTCTTCAACAAGACGATCCACGGGTTTAACCATCAGGTGGACATCAACCGGGTCATTAATGCCCGCTTTACGTAATGATTGAAGGACAAGTGGCCCGACACTCAGGTTCGGGACGTAATGGTTATCCATCACATCAAAGTGGATCATGTCCGCACCAGCGTGCAGGACGTTACTGACTTCTTCGCCCAGGCGGGAGAAGTCGGCGGCTAAGATAGAAGGGGCAATTATTGGTTCCATAAGCGGCATATTCTAAACGGCTTCCTATACTTAGCCTATGAAGAAATTGAATTTATCCGCTCTGGCACTGTTTCTGACGGGTTGGACAGTATCTGTTCTGGCGGAGGAGGCGCCACCTGACCCGGAGGTGACTCAGCGCAGCAGTTCGCTTACAACCCTGATGCAACGCGGAGAGACGTTTCGCGGTGTTGAAGAGTTGCTCTGGTTTGATTTTGCAGGCCAGCAACGCTGGATAGCAAAGCGACCGCCCAGCGGTCCTGTGAAGGGTAGCGTAGTGCTGTTAGCGTCTGAACAGGCTGGATTAAACGGTCTGCATCACCTGGCGCATCTGCGCACCGTTCTGCCCCGGCATGGCTGGCAGACTTTTTTCTTCAACCTTGATGGCCTTGCTGATCCGGCTGAGCAAGCGCTTGCGGCGCTGGCGGAGTTGTCTCAGCAAGCGCCACTTGTCCTGGTTTGCGAAGGCCTGACCTGTGAAGCGCTGCGTAACCTGCAGGTAGACGCAGCAGGCGCCTGGATCTATTTAAATCTTCCTGTATCTGAAACCAGCCGGGTCACTGTTGAGTATCGAAACAGCTGGCAGGCGGCAGGACTGCCCACGCTGATACTTCAGGAGTTTCCGCAGGGCTGGCCTGACGAATTACCCTTGTTGGGTGGATATGAGTTGCATCTTCTGCCGGCCTCGACGGCGCCAAGGTTTGATGCAACTGTGGAACGAAGAATCCGCGGCTGGTTCAAGCGTCAGATAGGTGGCACTTAGATAGAGTGGGCTTTGATCAGCTCCAGTGCATTGCGCAGGGCCACCATTTTATCCTGCGCCGCCTGCTTGTCTGCCGGGGTGGCGTTGGCCGCTAATTTATCGGGATGACTGCGACTCACCTGCTGACGATAAGCGTGTTTGACCCTATCAAAGGTGGCCTTTGTATCAACCTGCAGCAGGGCATACGCCGCCTTTAACGCGGGATCGGGTGCAGCGTTCTGATCCGTCTTTGCCGATGGTTTGTCCTGTTTTGAGGTCTGTCTCTGGTAGCGGCTGGCGATATCGCCATACTCACGTGCTACTCGATTCGGCGCAAAGCCGAGATAGCCGCCTAACAGTTTCAGTTGCGACAGAGCGGCATCAGAGGGTTCTATGGCGACCAGTGTGCAAAAGCAGCGCAACATGCTCTGCCGTGATGCCGAGCCCTGTTCAGTGGGTTGCAGACACTCGCGGGAGAGTGCCTGGATTGGAAAGTTGCTGTTTTTACCATCTCGGAACCAGGCTTTGGCCTGTTGTCGCACCGGCACTGTCAGGCCCATCTGCGTCATCACCTTTTCGGTATAGGCGATGTGTTCTGGTTGTACCTGGCCGGCAGCTTTGGCAATGCGGCCGAGGCCTGCAAACAGATACTCCAGGTGAGGTGATCTGTGTGTCTGGTGACGTTGGCCAATTCGGCTCAGTGTCGCCTGATCATCGTCATGATGCAGGTGTGCCCAATGGTCGTAAAGATGACCCAGGCCGATGCCGCAAATTATGGCAACAGACAGCCAGAGCGGGTCGGCAGGTGCCCAGATGACAGCGCAGGTTGCGCCTACAGCCTTGCCAAACCACTGATTAAATAACAGATGTGATTGCATAACCTGTTAAGCATAGGTCATCCCGCGGGACCTGCTTGAAATGCGCTTTATGTGGCGGTGAGCCTGGCTTTGAGGTGGTGATATTCGTCCAGCGTGCCGATGTCATGCCAGCGCCCTGCATGTATCTGAGCACCGAGTTTGCCGGACCTGATCAGGGCAAACAGCGTGTCGCGAAAAGAGAAATGCCGGGTCGCCTGGCCCTTGAACAGCTGTGGGTTGATAACGGCAATGCCGCAGTACACGTACTCGCCGCCGCGGCCGGTAACCTGGCCATCCTGGTATGTGAAATCACCACTTGTACGATTCGCGGGTTTGTCGGTGAGCACAATGTGAACGGGTCGATTTTCCGGCAGGTTCTGTGGCAGCTGACTGAAATCAAAATCTGTCCAGATATCACCATTGAGTAACCAGAACGGTTCATCGCCAAGCAGGGGCAGCGCGTTAATGATGCCACCGCCTGTTTCCAGCAACTCCGGCTCCTGGCTGTAACAGATGTCTACACCATAGCCGCTGCCGTCTCCCAGCGTGTTGCTGATTTGCTGGCCCAGGTGATGCAGATTAATAACAACCTGTTGTACACCCGCCGCGGCGAGGGCTTCTATCTGCCAGACAATAAGCGGTTTGCCAGCGAGTTCCAGCAGGGGTTTAGGTGTGGTATCTGTCAGCGGCGCCAGGCGTGTCCCTTTACCCGCGGCGAGGATCATAGCTTTCATACGCGCGTTGCATTCCGGGCGAGGATTTTCAAAACAGCTCCGAGTGAGCCTGCGCCCATGTGTGCACCTGTTTTAATTGCGCGTTGAGATCCTCAAGTTCGCTGTATTGTGCAGTGAGATCAAGCAGGCGCTGAAGCAGTGGGCCTATCTCCGACAGATGGCTGGATTTATGGTCACGTAGATGCAGGCGTGCAAAAATACCAATCGCCTTCAGTTGTCTTTGAATCGCCATGTAGTCAAACCACTGCTTCACCTGTGTGTACGGCAGCGTGTTAAGCGCAGGGGTTAAGTCGAGGAATTGATGCAGCCATTGCTCAATTTTCGCTTCATCGAAGGTGTGGTAACAATCTCTTAATAATGAGGCGATGTCATATAGAACGGGGCCGTGTAATGCGTCCTGGAAATCGACAATGCCCAGGCGGCCGTTCTGATACAGCAGGTTGCGACAATGGTAATCACGATGCACGCAACTTTTAGGTTGTTGCTCGGCACTGTCCACCAGCTGTGAGCAGATGCTGCGGAAAGTGGCTTCATCAAGTTGCTGCTGTAAAAATTTCTGCACAAACCATTCGTCGAACAGGCCAAGCTCGGTTGTCAGTCGTTCAGCGGTATAGGGTGGTATCGCCGGATCGTCTACTGTCGAGAGTTGCACCAGGGTTTCTATCGCCGCCGTCAGCGCGGGCGTTTCTGTGGCGGTGCCATACAATTCCTGCAGGTGTTGTGAGCCAAGATCCTGCATCAGGAAAAAACCGCTGGTGAGGTTGGTGCTGAAGACCTGGGGCACCGGCAGATGGTGGTTGCCGAACACCGTCGCCAGGCGTAGAAACTGATCGTTGTTCTCCAGCGCCGGCGGGCTCAACATCAGCACCAGGGTATCGCTGCGGGTTGGCGACTCAACCCGGTAAAAGCTGCGATGACTGGCCTCCACGCGCAGCGCGGTAAGCTGCATAGATTGCTCAGCGGTCAGATTCAGGGCAGTTCGACACCATTTAATGGCGCTTTTTGATATCAGGTTTTCTTCCACCTGCGCATTATAACCCGGCGAGCAATTCATTATGATGCGCGCATGGAATTTACCCGTCGCTGTCATCGCGCTACGAATCTGCTCAAGCTGTTGGCTCTGTGTTTTACCGCACCGATCTGGGCTGCATCGGGTGCAGATCACCTGTGTGTACCCAATGCCAGCGGTGATGGCTGGGATTGTGATCCTTACAGCGACGAAGTACCGCCTTTTACCTGGAACCAGGTCGCCCCCATCGCAGCGCCGGTTATACAGGTGCCGCCGCCACCCAAGGTGAACTCAGTCCCCGAAGATCCAGCTGTCCCGGCGCGCAACGCTGAGCCTATCGAGGCGAATACGGACCCTGTGACCGGTTTGAGCAATCGCCCCGAAGACTGGTACACCCCCAGCGTGCCGCGGCCGACAGATCCGGAACATCGTCTGTCTGAGGATCTTGCCGAATCACTGTATGTGGTCAGCGATGGCGGTGGTATTTGCCCTGGCAGCTATCAGGAGCGCGCTTTTACACTGCCGCTGGATGCGGATGATGAAACACAGCCTGTTGTCATCCTTGCCGATGGCCTCTCCAGTATTGTTGGTCAAAGCGCCAGCATGGTAGGGAATGTGACTATCGAGCAGGGCAATCGGCTGATTCGTTCGCCAGTTGCTCAGCTAGACTACCCCTCGCAGATTGTGGAATTTCCCCAGGGGCTGAAACTGGACCAACCCGGCTTGATCATGCAGGGCGCCCAGGCCACTGTGCATCTGAACACCAAGCAGGCAGATCTCAGTGGGACCCAGTTTATTCTTACCGATGCTAATTTGCGGGGTCAGGCGTCAAATCTGTTGCAGAACGATGCCGGCGATCTGACCTTGCAGGGTAATCAGTTCACTCGCTGTGAGCCGGGCAATAACGGCTGGGTACTGCAAACCAAAGAGCTGGTAATCGAAAAGGATGCCGTGTTCGGGACGGCGAAACATGCTGTATTGAAATTAAAGTCAGTACCCGTTTTCTATACACCGCGCCTGCAGTTTCCGGTTTCCGATCAGCGCCTGTCCGGGTTTCTGTTTCCGAATTTGGGTTATTCAGATGAAGACGGCGTTGATGTTGCCGTGCCCTATTATTTCAACCTGGCCCCAAACTACGACGCTACGCTGATTCCACGTTATATCAGCGAACGCGGTGCCGGAGCGGAACTGGAATTGCGACAGATGTCTGCATGGCAGTACACAACGCTCAGCGGGGGATTTCTGCCCAGTGACAACCTCTATAACGGCGAAGTTAACCGTGATGATTTTGACGAGGCTGGCGGCACCGCGGTGCTTGGTCCTTTTGATTCAGCTGACAGATGGCTGGGGGCGATAGATCACCAGGGCCAGATCGGCGCATTCCGCACCCTGATTGATTACACCAGTGTCAGTGACCGGGATTATTTCCGCGATCTTGGCTCCGATCTGGGCGTTTCCAGTCGCCGGGAGCTCGAACGTAAAGGTGAAATACAGTACAACCAGGGCGGTTTATTCATGCGCTTATGGGCGCAGCGATTTCAGCGCCTTGATGAGTCGGTCATCGACGATTACCAGCGCTTACCTGAGCTTGAAGCGGTATATACAACGCCCATTGCCGGACCGCTGGAATTCAGTCTTGGCGCGAAGTGGTCAGATTTTGACCGTGACACCGACGGTTTGGTGGGCATCCAGGCGTTTACCGGCCAGCGCACACATCTCGAGCCGAGATTACGCATGTCACTGCAGCAGCCCTACGGGTTTCTCAATCTCACAGGCGGCTATCGCTATACACGTTACGATCTTGAGCAGTCCGACCTGGTTGTCGGTGGTGTCCTGCTGGATGACAGCCCTGATCGTAATATTGGTGTGGCGTCGGTAGATGGCGGTCTGTTTTTTGAGCGGCCACTGAACTGGTTCGGCCATGATCTGATCCAAACCCTTGAGCCACGTCTGTTTTATCTGTGGCAGGAATTTGATGAGCAGGCAGCGCTACCTTTATTTGACGCGTCACGCCTGACCTTTGGCTATTCGCAGCTGTTTCGCGACAACCGCTTCTCCGGCCTTGATCGCATCGGCGATGCAGATCAGATTTCTGCTGGGGTCACTACGCGCTTTCTTGCCACCAGTACCGGGCGCGAGTATTTCCGCTTCAGCGTGGGTGAGATCTTCTATTTTGATGATCGCGAGGTGACCCTCTCCGGCGCGCCCACGGAAGCTGATCTGGACAGCTCATCGGCTATTGCCGCGGAAACCGCCGCTTCGATTTATGGCAACTGGAAAATCACGGGTAACATGGTCTGGGATCCGCATGAAAATAAAGTGGAAGAAGGCGGTGCTGGGCTTTCGTATCAACGTGATTCCCGCCATATTTTCAACCTGGGTTACCGTAACCGGTTCGATCAGAACATAGAGCAAACCGATCTGTCCTTTTACTGGCCAGTGTCGCAGCACTATTCCATTCTGGCACGATGGAACTATGATCTGGAAAGTGGTCGTACCATAGAAGCGTTTGGTGGCGTGGAATACGCTGATTGCTGTCTGAAGGTTCGCCTGATGGCGCGTCGTTTCCTCGACAGCCCAACCGCACAGAATTTTGAAAACGTCGAAGCAGACAATGGCGTGTTTCTACAAATTGTATTTAAAGGCCTTGCTGGCTTCGGTACTCAGGTAGAATCTGTGCTTGAGCGGGGTATTCGCGGTTATCGCACCCCTGAAGCCAGCGACTATTTCACTAAATAAAAATTTGCGTACGGCAAACGTGATACATGGATTCACCCATGATGGATTTGCCCCTGGAGGTATCTGCGAAAATGCATAAGGTCCTGACAACAATACTGGTGTGCGTCATTGGCGCGGCCCTACTTTACGTGCCGGCCAACAGCCATGCCGTGTACAGAGAAATTGAAGGCATTGTGGCGGTGGTAGACGATGATGTGGTGCTCGCCTCTGAGTTAAAGAGTCGATACGACCAGGTGATTCGGCAGATGCAGTCACAGAATGCCGCGATGCCACCCAACGACATCCTGATCAGCCAGATCATGGAGCGACTGATTCTGGAAAGCATTCAGAAGCAGGAGGCCGAGCGTCGCGGTATCCGCATAGATGATGAAACTCTGACCAGAGCGGTCATGTCCTTTGCACAGGGCAACAACATGTCCCTTGAGCAGTTTCAGCAGGCGCTTGCGGCAGATGGTGTCAGCTATCGAGAGTTTCGCGAAGAGATACGCACCGAGATGGCTATTACCCGGCTGCAGCGAAATCTGATCAATCGCAGAATTTCGATTACCGATCAGGAAGTTGAGGGCCTGCTCAATTCGCCGTTTTATAAAGAAATGTTTTCAGATGAGTATCGCGTCGGCCATATATTACTGTCGTTAGAAGAGCGTGCTTCGGAAGAGGTGGTAGACGCGGCGTTGGCTGAAGCGAGCGATATTGTTAAACAGCTGCGTGAAGGTGCCGACTTTGCACAGATGGCGATTGCCAAGTCGTCCAGCAGCCGGGCTTTAGAAGGTGGTGATCTGGGTTGGCGTAAAGCAGGTGAGCTCCCCAGCCTGTTTGCTGAGCAGGTGCTTGAGCTTGACGTGGATGGCATTGCCGACCCTATCAAAACCTCAGGTGCAATCCATATTATCAAGCTGTTGGAAAGACGTGGCGCGGGTGTGCAGAAAGTTGTTGAAACCAATGTGCGTCATATTCTGGTGCAACCTTCAGAGATCCGCTCCCCGGAAGAAACCGTGGCCCTGATACAGGACATCAAACGTCAGTTAGACGAAGGGGCCGACTTTGCGGAGCTGGCAAAAGAACACTCGCAGGATCCCGCCAGTGCTTTGAATGGTGGCGATCTGGGATGGGCATCACCTGATCAGTTTGTGGGTCAGTTTGGGGAAATTATGGAACGCACGGCCAAAGGCGGTATGAGCGAGCCGTTCCTTACGCAGTTTGGCTGGCACATCCTGCAGGTACTGGATCGCCGCGAAGAAGATATGAGCGATGAGGCTCGCGAGAATATGGCCGTCGAAATCCTGCACAAACGCCGCTTTGAAGAAGAGCAGCAGGAATGGTTGAAAGAAATCCGCGATGAAGCCTTTGTTGAAGTTCGTCTCTAGGCTTTGCGTGTGAGGATATGTTAGCGATAACGCCTGGAGAGCCTGCCGGCATTGGCCCGGACCTGGTCATTCGGCTGGCTCAGCACAAACGCGCGCAGGGCTGGGTAGTACTGGCTGATGCGCAGATGCTGGCTGCCAGGGCTCAGCAGCTCGCTTTACCCCTGACCATTGATGACAACCACGCCCAGCCCAGTTGTGCTGCGAGCCACCTCACGGTGCGTCATATACCCCTGGCTAATCCTGCGATACCTGGTCAGTTGGACTGTGGCAATGTTGCAGGCGTGCTCGCCGCTCTGGATGCGGCCATTCAAGGGTGCCTGGAGGGGATGTACACAGGCCTGGTCACCGGACCGATGCAGAAGTCTATTGTTAATGAGGCAGGCATCGCCTTCAGCGGGCATACAGAATACCTCGCTGATGCCGCGGGTGCTGATGATGTTGTCATGTTGCTGGTAGCTGGTGAGCTGCGAGTTGCGCTGGCGACCACTCATGTCCCCTTGAGCCAGGTGCCAACCTCACTGACAAAGGCGCTGCTTGCGCGCCGCTTAACAATCCTCAACGCAGGGTTACAGAAGTTTTTTGGCATACAGGATCCGCATATTCTGGTTGCCGGGTTGAACCCGCATGCGGGAGAGAGCGGGCATCTGGGTCGCGAAGAAATAGAGACGATTACCCCTGTACTGGAAAGTCTGCGCGGACAGGGGCTCAGGTTAAGCGGTCCCCTGCCGGCGGATACGTTGTTTACCCCTCGACATCTCAAAGACGCTGATGCTGTGATGGCCATGTTTCACGATCAGGGTTTGCCGGTGCTGAAGTACGCGGGGTTCGGCGAGGCGGTTAACGTTACTCTGGGTCTGCCCTTTGTGCGTACGTCGGTAGACCACGGTACTGCTTTGGATCTGGCCGGCACTGACGCTGTTGATACCGGCAGTATGGCGGCTGCGCTTAAGTTGGCCGGCGTGCTTACCGAAACAATGATTGCCTGATGTCAGCGTCAGTAAGATTCCATGCGCGCGCGTAAACGATTTGGGCAACACTTTCTAACCGACCAGGGTGTGTTGCAGAATATTGTGCGTGCCGTAGGAGTGACAGCCAAGGACCATCTGTTTGAGATTGGTCCTGGTCATGGCGCGCTAACCGACCTGTTGGCAGACACCCCAGCGTTGTATCGCGCTGTCGAGATTGATCGGGATCTGGCGCCAATGCTGCGTGCAAGGCATCCGAATCTGCAGGTCATTGTTGATGACGTCTTGCGTGTGAATCTTAAAGAAATTCTGGATGGCGATGTGCCCTGGCGATTGCTCGGTAATCTGCCGTACAACATTTCGTCTCCGCTGCTTGCTACCCTGACCCAGTTTGTAGAAGCCCAGCCAGGGCAGATAGCGGATATGCATTTCATGTTGCAGCGGGAGATGGCTGAACGTCTGAGCGCCTTGCCCGGCACCAAAGCCTGGGGCAGACTCAGTGTCATGGTGCAACTGCGGTTTGACGTTGGGCACGTTTTCGACGTGGGGCCTGAGGCGTTCAGTCCACCGCCTAAGGTCTGGTCCAGTATCATACGTCTGATTCCGAGAAAGAATGTGGATGCCGGCGTGGACCTGGCGGTTCTCGACAGAGTGTTAAGACTGGCGTTTTCCGGGCGGCGTAAACGGCTGTCCAACTCGTTGAAAGTGCTGGAGCTCGATTGGTCGACCATCGACCTGGATCCGGGTCTGCGCGCTGATAACGTGGCCCGCGACGAATACGTCATGCTGGCAAGGCAGGTGGCCACCCAGGCAAACGATAAAAATTTGTTATCCGAATAAAAATTCAGTGAGTAGTAGGCGTTTATGAATCAGGTTGAAGTGTCCGTGGTCACCCATTATGTAGAGGCCCAGTCTGATCCGACGGAAGAGCGATTTGTTTTTGCTTATACCATCACCATCACTAACAACGGCACGCAATCAGCACAACTCATGAGCAGACATTGGATCATCACAGATGCCAGTGGTGAGGTGGAAGAAGTGCGCGGTGAGGGTGTGGTTGGCAAACAACCTTTGCTGGCACCGGGTGAATCTTTTGAATACACCAGCGGTGCAATTCTCAAGACACCGGTGGGTGCCATGCAGGGGGCATATACTTTTCGCGACACCAACCAGGCTTCTTTCAATGTGCCTATTGCTGCGTTCTCCCTGTCCATACCTAATCTGGTGCACTGAACCTTGGCCACTTATGCCGTGGGAGATGTGCAGGGGTGTCTGCGCGAGTTTGAGCGCCTGTTAGAGCGCATAAACTTTGGTTCCAAAGACCGGCTCTGGTTAGTGGGCGATCTGATTAATCGTGGTCCTCATTCGCTGGAAGTACTTCGGTTGGTAGAATCGATGTCCGCTCAAGTTGAGATAGTGCTGGGCAATCACGAATTACATTTTCTTGCCATCTACTTTGGTGGGCATAAGAGCAGTCGCTCTGACACCTTCGAGAGCTTGCTTGCGGCGGCTGATGTAGAGCATCTGGCAAGCTGGTTATGCCAGCAGAAGATGCTGCATCACGACCCGTTGTTGAACTGCACCATGACCCATGCCGGTATTCCGCATATCTGGAGCTTAGAGCGTGCCAGGGGTTTTGCTGATGAAGTTGAGAAAGTTCTGCGCGATGAAAATGCGCAGGTGAGTGCGAAAAAATTTTTCACGGGTTTATACGGCAATGAACCCAACTGCTGGCAATCCGAATTAAGCGGGTTGCCGCGTTATCGATTGCTGGCCAACTATTTCACCCGCATGCGCCTGGTAAACCCTGAAGGGTGTTTAGATTTCAGTCACAAGGGTGTAATAGCTGAAGCCCCAGCGGGTTGGGTGCCCTGGTTTAAACTGTTCCCCCGCGCAGCGGATGATGAGGGCGCCATGAGACTGTTGTTTGGTCACTGGGCGGCACTGGAAGGTGTGACCGAGCGAGATGACATGATTGCACTGGATACAGGGTGCGTCTGGGGACGCCATTTAACCGCGTACTGTCTGGAAACCGCCGAGTTAACAACGGTGCAAGCGGTCAGCTGAGATGGCGCAGAAAGACAACATGACGGGTGAGCTGGAAACCTATCTTGTCGGCGGTGCCGTAAGGGATGGATTGCTTGGGCGTGCCGTCGGCGACAACGATTGGGTTGTGGTGAACAGTTCGGTAGCCCAGATGCTGGCGCTGGGTTTTACTCAGGTGGGACGAGACTTTCCGGTATTCCTGCACCCGGATACCCACGAAGAATATGCCTTGGCTCGTACCGAGCGGAAGCAAGGCCATGGTCATCGCGGATTTGTGGTCAACGCCAGTCCCGACGTGACGCTGGAAGAAGATCTGCAACGGCGAGATCTGACCATCAATGCAATTGCCCAAGATGCGCAGGGTGAATTGATTGATCCTTTTGGCGGGGCAGCAGATCTTGCCGCGCGAATACTTCGGCATGTGTCGCCTGCTTTTGCGGAGGATCCACTGCGGGTTTTCCGTGTGGCTCGATTTGCCGCACAACTGCCTGATTTCTCAGTTGCCCCCGAGACCCTGCAGCTGATGCAGCAGATGTGTGAGGCGGGAGAGCTGACTTCGCTCTCGGCAGAAAGGGTCTGGCAGGAAACGGAAAAAGCGCTTTATGCGGTGGCGCCTGAACATTTTTTTAATCTGCTTGGCCAGGTTGCCGCGTTGGAATTCTGGATGCCTGAACTGCTCGGCCGATCGGTCCGATTTGAGCGTGACGATGCCGTGTATCGCTACGCTGAGCTGCCGCTTGCTGAGGCTGAATTCGAAACGCTTGGTGTTCGTTTGAAAGTACCCGGTCGTTATCAGCAGATAGCCGCAGATCGACTCAGTTATGCAGATATCATTGCGCAATGGCACACTGTTGAGGTGACGCATCTTGCGACGGCGATGCAGGCCCTGCAGGTTAACCACGACAATGTCCGTCTGCTCAGGCTGCTGGACTGGCTGCAGTTTGACCAGCTGCAGAAAGACACGCTGCAGCAGTTGGGAGAAGGCTGGCGTGCGGTGCAGGTTGAGGCAGAGGGGCTCAGCGGTAAGGCTTATGGTAACGCACTGTTTAAGGCGCGTTGCGAGTGGCTGGATCAGGCGCGTCGGCGATAGATCTCAACGCCCACCTGCTCAGCCTTTTGCAGCGCGTCTGGTTTGCCGACATTAACCCGTACGGCCTGTACCAGGGGTTGTGCAAGCGCAAGGTCAGCAATCTGTTGCGCCAGCGTCTCCACCAGTAGGCACTGCTGTTCGATGGCCAACGCCTCAACCGCTTCCGCGAGAAATGCATAGTCGAGGGTGTCGCCTAAATCTTTTGATTCGGCTGCGGGTGCCGTATCGACGGTCAACTCGAGAGAAATGCAAACCGGCTGCGGTGTGTCACGTTCGTGCGGGAGCACGCCGATGATGGTCTTGAAAACAAGATTGCGCACATAGACAGTGTCCGTATTTGTTTGATCCATCAGTTTACCGTCAGTAAGTTTATCTAAGCGGAGCGGGCCGTTTGAGCGAGCAGCTCAACGCCGTTGTCGATCGAAGCCAGTTCAATTATTGGCCAGCGCGGTTTTGTGTTGATGGCAAGGTCGTTGCTCTGTTTGCCCAGCAGCCGCAACGCACCTGCAAAAGCGATCATCGCCCCGTTATCGGTACACAAGGCGTCCGGTGCATAGTGCACGTTGGCATCGAGTTCGTGAGCCAGTTTGTGGCGCAGCGCTTTGTTTGCGCTGACCCCGCCGGCCATCACCAGATCTTTAATACCCGTCTGTTTAACGGCCCGTTTGCACTTGATGAATAACGTATCTACCACCGCTTCTTCGAAAGCAGCTGCAATATCGGCGATGTCCTGGTCAGACAGGGGCTGGGTTGCAGCAACGGTATTCAACGTGAATGTTTTCAGGCCGCTGAAGCTGAAGTCCAGTCCCGGACGATCGGTCATTGGACGCGGGAACGTGAAGCGTTTTGTGTCACCTCTGGTCGCTGCTGCCGCAATTGCAGGGCCGCCGGGGTAACCCAGGTCCATCATTTTGGCGGCTTTATCGAAAGCTTCTCCGGCAGCGTCATCGACAGATTCGCCCAGAATTTCGTAATTGCCAAGGCCAGCGACCCTGACCAGCTGCGTATGTCCGCCAGACACAAGCAGCGCCAGAAAAGGTAGTTGTGGCGCTGCATCCTGACCCTGAGAGGGTGCAAGCAGCGGCGCAAGCAGGTGCGCTTCCATATGGTGGACACCAATCGCTTCGATACCCAGGGCCCAGGCGAGGCTGCGGCCGAACGTGGCGCCGACCAGTAGTGCACCCATAAGCCCTGGCCCTGCGGTGTATGCGATGCCATCCAGATCAGCAAGAGTTTTACCTGCTGCGTCTAATACCTGGTGGGTCATCGGGGTTATTTTGCGGATGTGATCCCGGGACGCGAGTTCAGGTACAACCCCGCCGTAGTCCGCGTGCAGGTCAATCTGGCTGTACAACGCTTCGCTGAGCAGGCCCTGTTCGGTGTCATAAACAGCAAGGCCCGTTTCGTCGCAGGAGGTTTCGATACCAAGGATTAACATAATGGCGCGGACTCTAGTGCAAAAACGGGCTTGCAGACAATCAGTTCTGTGTAGAACTGATCATCGCCGGGGTTGTTGGATCGTATGTCGGGTCAATACAGAGTATTTCCAGCATGGCACCTTCTAACGCGGGCGGCGGAATCGGGTTGTTTGACAGACACACTCGTCCCTCCGCACTGAATGTCATATCTCGTGAATACGAGCCTGATAGTGGTAGCGGATAAACGACAAATCGTTCCTCAGCGGGAATAAACCGGAAGATCCTGTCCGTCATGTTCTCGTTGATCCAGATGTCCTGAGTATCCGGGTGTACACCCAGGGCGTAAGGCGCAGGGCGAAAACCTTCCGCAAACTCGGGCATCTCATAAACTTTGCTGTCGAAGCCCTTGGTCACATCTACCCGTGCAAGTTCACCCTCAGAATAGCCGGTGACCCAGAGGATGCCATTCTCATCGAAACGCATGCGCCGGGGGCCGCGAACCGGTGAATCGTACTCTGTGATCTCCAGCGTGTCGGGATTCACGTGGCCAATTTTGTCGCCGAACAGACGGCTGTACCACATGGTGTCGTCAACCGGATTAATGTCGATGCCATAAGGCTGGGTGCCGCCGGCGATGCCGCCAGACACGGCATGGGGCAGGTCGATCACATCAAAGTTGCCGGATTTGATGTCCAGTCGCGCAACATGTTCGGAACCGGCCAGCGTGAACCAGACGTAGCCTTTTTTATCTGCCCGGATCGTGTGTGGATAGACGGCGCCGGTTTCAGCGGCAATGGCGTGGGAAGGCTCCCAGGCCTTTTTTATGGGATCAAACACGCCGATGCTGCGGCTGCCGGCGTTTGTGACGTAGTACTTACCATCGATGGCAAGATCAAGAGAATGCGGACCGTGGCGGGAGCCAGGGTTGAATTCGCCGATCACTTCCTGTTCGGCTGAGGTATAACCTTCTCTATATTCCATTGCCCGCCCATCCGCCTGGGGGAAGTACTCCGACTGGCCGGTTGCGGGATCGGTCACAACGATGTGATCAAGGCCCTGATCGACGGTGTAGATCAAACCGTTGGGATGAATGATGGCGTCATGAGGCACAAACGCACGATCGAGCATGTATTCGTAAATTTTGGTCTGCGCCAGCGTTTTGTCGAGTGGAAATTCAGGTCGTACCGAAACAGGTTTGCCATCGAAGCCTTTTGCCAGTATCACCGAGCGTCGATCGCGCAGAACAGCGTCAAAATTGCCTACCATCTGGTGCATGCGTTCGATGGTGCCTGACCAGGATTCAGCGGTGCGCACCTGACGGGTGAAAGGATTGCCCATTTGATGGCAGGACAGGCAGTCACGTTGAAACTGATAGCGGTTGAAGTCTTTGTCGTCACCAGACTCGAAAGGCAGGCTCCCGAAGTGGTACGCAGCGGGCAGGCTGTCAGAGATCTCGGCCGGGTCTGTCATTGGTGTCATCACCAGGTTTTCCTGACTGGTGCCATTCGGCGCCAGTTCCAGCGTCGTTTTGGTGTCTTTGAAATACGGTGTACGTGCGCGCAGCTTCAAAGTGCCGTGTAACTGCGTTGCCAGGGTGAATTGGCCCTGCGGGTTTGTGTACACCGATTCAGATACGCCACGGGCATCGTCTGTCACTCTGATCAGCACCCCCTCCAGGGACTTGCCTTCATGGTTGACCACTTTGCCAGTGAGCGTGCCGGCGCTCGCCGGCAAGGCGAGGATGGACAGTAGAATAATTCCTGCAGTTATAATGACGTTCATTGATCCCCCTAAATTTAACAACGCTCCCTCGTTTTTGAGAATGCCCCAAAAGCGGGTTGTGGCGCAAATAAAGCAGAATTCAGACTCTGGACGGATAATATTCCAGCGTGTAGAATTCGCGCCCCTTACAGAACTCAGGGCCAAAATGCCTCACGTAAAAGTCCGCGAAAACGAACCCTTTGACGTCGCGCTGCGCCGTTTCAAACGCTCTTGTGAAAAAGCCGGTGTCTTATCGGAAGTTCGCCGTCGTGAGTTCTACGAAAAGCCTACTGCCGTGCGTAAGCGCAAAGCGGCTGCTGCAGTGAAAAGACACGCCAAGAAGCTGCAGCGCGAAGCGCGCAAGTACGAACGCGCGTTTTAGGCGATAGACCTGCCGCTTCCAGGCGGTACTCTATCCAGGTGGCAGTGCTGACTTCCACCTTCGATGATCTGATACTCTCCTTATTGCCCTTGTGAGACGCTGCCATGAGTGAACTCAAAGGTGTCATCGGTGATGCCACTAAAGAAGCGATGAAAGCCCGGGACAAAGAGCGCCTGGCGGTTTTGCGCATGGTGAACTCTGAGCTCAAACGCGTTGAAGTGGATGAGCGGCGCGAGCTCACAGACGCCGACGTGCTTAACATCCTGAATAAGATGTTGAAACAGCGGCAGGATTCCCTCAAACAGTTTACCGATGCCGGTCGTGACGATCTGGCGGAGCAGGAAGCGTTTGAAATTGGGGTAGTGCAGGTTTTCCTGCCTGCGCAACTTTCAGATCAGGACCTGGCTGCTCTGGTTGACAAAGTGGTAACAGAATCTGGTGCCAGTGGCATGCAGGATATGGGTAAGGTCATGGCAGCGGTCAAAACTGCAGCCGCAGGCCAGGCAGATATGGGGCGCGCAAGCGGCCTCGTTAAAGCAAGGCTCAGTCAATAGTTTAAGGAATACAGATGGCTCAGGACTCAGAACCTAATATTATCCCTGTGGTTCTGGCTGGCGGTGTTGGTAGTCGTTTGTGGCCAGTCTCGCGCTCGTTTTTCCCTAAACAGTTCCAGAAACTACTCGGTGAACAATCCTTTCTGCAGGCGACACTCCTGCGTGCAGCAGCCATCACAAACAGCGCACCTATTCTGGTCTGTAACGAAGAGCACCGTTTTCTGGTGGCCCAGCAGTGTCGCGAAATCGATCAGCAGTGGGGCCAGCTTATTCTTGAACCCGAAGGTCGAAGTAGCGCACCGGCCATTGCATTAGCGGCCTGGGCTGCGGTAGCCCAGGACCCCGACGCGGTTCTGCTGGTACTGCCTTCGGATCACCTTGTTGGTAACCTGGAGCTGTTTGCAGAAGCGGTACAGCAGGCGGCCAAGGGCGCCCAGAAGGGCGGCCTGGTGACATTTGGTGTCACACCTCAACGCGCAGAAACCGGCTACGGTTACATTCAGATCGCGGATCCTGAAGCAGGCTTGCAGGCGGTCACGTCGTTTGTAGAAAAACCTTCCGCAGAGCTGGCCCAGGAATATCTAGACGCAGGAAACTTTCTCTGGAACAGCGGCATGTTTGTGCTTGGTGCTCAAACTTATCTGGATGAACTGGCAGAGTTTCAACCGGAGATGACCGATTGCACTCAACAGGCAATGGCCGATGCTCAGTCTGATATGGATTTTCTGCGTCCTGGGCCCAGTTTCCTTAAGTCTCCTGCTGATTCCATCGACTATGCGGTGATGGAGAAAACCAGCCGTGCACAGGTATTGCCGGTGCATTTCACCTGGAATGATATTGGTTCCTGGTCCGCCATCTGGGATGAGTCTGACCGCGATGGTGACGGTAATCATCTGGAAGGAGATGTGGTTGCTGTGAATACCCACAACTCTTATGTGCGCGCAGGCGAGCGTCTGGTAGGCATCATCGGCGTTGATAACCTGGTGGTTGTGGAAACCACGGACGCGGTTCTGGTGGCTGACAGGGATCAGGTGCAGGATGTAAAACAGATTGTGCAGCGTCTATCTGAGACCAAGCGAAGTGAACACCTTTACCACCGGGAAGTATTTCGACCCTGGGGCAGCTATGAAGGTATCGCTGAAGGTGATCGTTATCAGGTGAAGTGCATCAGGGTGGAGCCAGGGGCAACGCTGAGCCTGCAGATGCATCATCATCGTTCTGAACATTGGATCGTGGTGCAGGGCACGGCTCGTGTAACCCGAGAAGATGAAGTGTTCACGCTGGGCGAAAATGAAAGCACCTATATTCCTCGCGGCGCAAAACATCGTCTGGAAAATCCGGGGCGCCTGCCGCTTGAATTAATCGAAGTTCAGGTGGGTCCTTATCTCGGCGAAGATGATATTGAGCGCTTTGAAGATGTTTATGGGCGCTGAAACCCAGCGGCAACAATCTACCGTTTAACCACCCTGTCTTCGGGTTCGCTTATGGTAGGCTGTTGTGACCGTTTTCATCTGTCATTACAGGCATAGTCACTTTGGCCGGTCGCATCCCACAGTCTTTTATTAACGATCTACTGACACGTGTCGATATTGTCGATGTCATTGAATCGCGCATGACGTTAAAAAAGACCGGCAAAAACTATTCCGGCCTGTGCCCCTTTCATGACGAAAAGACCCCTTCTTTCTCGGTCAGCCCGGACAAACAGTTTTTCCATTGTTTTGGTTGTCAGGAGAGTGGTACTGCGCTGACGTTTATCATGAATTTTGATCGGCTGGAATTTGTTGAAGCGGTGGAAAACCTCGCGCAACAGCTCGGTCTTGAAGTGCCCCGGGAGCAGTCCGGTGGCGCAAGGGCGCCGGTTGACCCTGACCTCTACGACGTCATGCTCAAGGCGGAACGTTATTATCGCCAATCATTACGCCAGGCGCCGGAGGCCATTGCCTACCTGAAAAAGCGTGGTTTGACTGGCGAAGTGGCGCGGGATTTTGGCATGGGATATGCGCCGCCTGGCTGGCAGAACCTGATGGATAACCTTGAGGGTGTGAGTGAAAAAAGTCTGCTGGCGGCGGGTCTGGCGACAAAAAGTGATAAAGGACGAATCTACGATCGCTTCCGTGACCGCATTGTTTTCCCCATACGTGATACGCGCGGCAGAGTGATCGGCTTTGGCGGCCGCACCATGACCGCGGATGAGGGCCCCAAGTATCTGAATTCACCTGAAACCGCTCTTTTTCAGAAAGGCCAGGAACTCTACGGTTTGTATGAGGCGCGGCGTGCGTTGCGGCGCATCGACAAGCTGATTGTGGTTGAAGGCTATATGGATGTGGTTGCGCTTGCACAGCATGGTGTGGCCAACGCGGTGGCTACCCTTGGCACAGCCTCGGGAGAAGCGCATTTCCACAAACTCTATCGATATACGGATGAAGTGATCTGTTGTTTTGATGGAGATAACGCCGGGCGCCAGGCGGCGTGGAAAGCGTTAGAAAATGCTCTGCCGACGCTGACAGAGATGCGCCAGGTGAAACTGGTCTTTCTGCCCGATGGAGAAGATCCGGATAGTCTGATCCGCGCGCAGGGCAAAGCTGGTTTTGAAAAATTTGTGAATAACGCCGTGCCGGGTCTTGAGTACCTGTTTTCCCGTCTGGCACAAGGCCTTGATCTCGAAACCGTGGATGGCAAGGCGAAGTTCGGCGGTCTTATCCGTCCGTACATTGATAAAGTTTCAAGCGCCGAGCTGAAAGCTCTGTTGCAGCAGAAAGTTGAAGCGCAGACCGGGTTTGGTACAGCAACGGCGTCGCGTCCCTTGTCCAGGCAGCCTGCGCGAACAAGGTCTAAAGGCCTTGTGAAGTTAAGTGAACGCTTACTTACGTTGCTCATCAAGCACCCAGGGTACTGGTCGGATGTACCGCTTGAGAATCGCAATATGCTGGTTGAAGCCGCGGGTGATCTGGGTTTGCTTGGAGAGATCGTCACCTATGTGAATAACCGCGCCGACGCAGATACCGAAGAGCTCCTTATCCGCTGGTCTGACGATGAGCGATCCGAGCGCCTGCTTGCCCTGGCGCAAACGAAACTCGAGCTGCCCGCTGAGGCCATCAAAGGAGAATTTGTCGACGGTATGCTGCATTTGTGCAGCAAACTGACGCTGGCCCAGCGCAAAAGTGCAATCGATGAGTTGCAAAAAATGCCGGACGCGGAGCGCCTGCAACAATACTGGCAGCATCGCAGCAAGGGAGAAAAGTAATCTCCAACTACTTTACCCGGCACTTTTCTGGCAAGATTTTCAGTGAAAACATTGAAAAAAAGTCGCTCAACCCCATCTAGGGGTCTATAATTATCCGTTAGCCTCTCGGGGGTGCTCAGTAAAGTGAATCGCAAGGTCACAACGAGCAATAAATGAAGAGGCATACCCCAGCACCACAAATAACAACGGTGCGTCAAAAAATATGGCACTTGTACCCAGGAATAACCCCGGTATCCGATTGTTTTCGGCGCCGCGGATTTCTGGAGCCAATGAACTAATGCCTCCCGGCAGCGTTCATATACTTATTAACATCTGATTTTTGAGGTCACATGAGCAATCAAATCTCGACCGCACAGCAACAGTCTCGCCTGAAAGAGCTAATCGCTAAAGGCAAAGAGCAGGGTTTTCTCACCTATGGTGAGGTGAACGATCACCTGCCGGACGACATTTCTGATCCGGAGCAGATCGAAGACATCATTCGCATGATCAACGACATGGGCATCACCGTGTATGAAAACGCACCTGATGCTGATGAATTACTGTCCAGCGAAGAGAACACCGCGGATGAACTGGCTGCTGAAGAGGCCGCCGCTGCGCTCGCGGCAGTTGAGACCGAAGCAGGCCGCACAACCGATCCGGTGCGCATGTATATGCGTGAAATGGGTACCGTTGAGTTGCTGACCCGCGAAGGCGAAATTGCCATCGCCAAGCGCATCGAAGAAGGTATTCGCGATGTTTTGACCGCGCTGTCTTACTACCCGGGGCCGGTAGATTACATCCTTGAAACTTATGCTGAAGTAACCAAAGAAGACAAACTTTCTGACCTCCTTGTTGGTTATCTTGATCCCACAGACCACGTGCCGGCGGCAACACAGGTCGGCGCGGATGGCGTTAAGAAAACCACTACTGATGATGACGATGAAGAGGGGCCAACCGGGCCTGATCCAGAAGAAGCGAAAAAACGCTTTGGAACTTTAAAACGCCAGTACAACAAAACACTTAAGGTTATTGCTGAAAAAGGCCGTGACAGTGACGAAGCGCGCGCTCAGCAGGTTAAGCTGGGAGAAGCGTTCTGTTGTTTCAAACTGGTACCCAAACACTTTGACGAGATTGTCAGCATGGCCCGCGGCGGCCTGGATATTGTGCGACGACACGAACGCACGATCCTGACGCTTGCTGTTCGACAGGGTAAGGTGCCGCGCGATGTTTTCCGCAAAGAGTATGTGGGCAACGAAACCAGCGTGACCTGGATCAACAAACTGGTGAAAGCGGATAAAGAGTATTCGCAGTCTCTAGAAGCGCAGCGTGACGATATTCTGCGGGCGCAGAAGAAGCTGAAAGTGCTGACCAAGTTTACCGATCTGAGTGTGGTTGAGATCAAAGATATCAACCGTCGTATGTCTTTAGGTGAGGCCAAAGCGCGTCGCGCCAAGAAAGACATGGTTGAAGCGAACCTGCGTCTGGTGATTTCTATTGCGAAGAAGTACACCAACCGAGGTCTGCAGTTCCTGGATCTGATTCAGGAAGGCAATATCGGCTTGATGAAAGCAGTCGATAAGTTTGAGTATCGACGCGGATATAAGTTTTCAACTTATGCCACGTGGTGGATTCGTCAGGCGATTACCCGATCCATTGCTGACCAGGCTCGCACCATTCGTATTCCAGTGCATATGATTGAAACTATCAATAAGCTGAACCGCGTATCGCGTCAGATGCTGCAGGAGATGGGGCGCGAACCCACGCCGGAAGAGCTTGGCGAACGTATGGAAATGCCGGAAGACAAAGTACGGCGGGTTCTGAAAATTGCCAAAGAACCGATCTCCATGGAAACGCCTATTGGTGATGATGAGGATTCTCATCTGGGTGACTTTATTGAAGACACCACCATCGGCTCACCCGTAGAGCTTGCGACAGGTGAAGGTCTTCGAGAAGCAACCAAAGACGTGCTGGGCGGTTTGACCGCGCGTGAGGCGAAGGTTTTGCGGATGCGTTTTGGTATCGACATGAATACCGATCACACGCTGGAAGAAGTCGGCAAACAGTTTGATGTAACACGAGAGCGTATTCGTCAGATTGAAGCCAAAGCGTTACGTAAGCTTCGTCATCCAAGCCGTTCAGAACACCTGCGCAGCTTCCTGGATGAGTGGATGGAAAGCCTCGGTCGTAGCTAGCCGATTTTCCAGACAAAAAATAAAACCCCGGGACGAAATCCCGGGGTTTTTGTTTTCGGTGTTGGTGGTAGAATTCCGCGCGTTACATTTGTGTATACAGGGCCTATAGCTCAGTTGGTTAGAGCGCTGGACTCATAATCCATCGGTCCCAGGTTCGAGTCCTGGTGGGCCCACCAATTCAGTGAGAGTGTGCGAGTTTTGCTTTAGACTTCGCGCATGCATGCTCAGTCAATCAAAGGAAACGCCTTCTTTCGCGACCGGATAACCTGGTTGGCGATCCTTATCGTCTGTTGTTTTGTTGCTGTGCTGCTGCTGCCCAGTCAGAGTCGCGCAAGTTACCCGACGTACATTCTCGCCATTGTCATGCTCGTTAGCTTTGCGTCCTGGCGTGATGTTTTTCAGTTGCCTCTTGTACGCTGGATTGTCGCGCTGCTGGTCTGGCTCTGCTTGAGCGTGTTCTGGTCTGAACCCTTTGTGCTGCGAGAAGCCATATCGGTCTGGACACGCTCTATTCTGATTCTTGCATTTGTGGTGGCTGCAGCGGAGTGTCAACTTCGTGGACAGCTACAGCGCTGGATGTCCACCGCGTTAACCTGGGTTGGATGTCTTGCGGTTCTGGCCAGTTTGATCAATTTCTTTGTTACAGACCCCGCTGATGGTCGCCTTAATGGCCTTGGTCAGCTGGACACGCACGTGATTGCCGCTCTTGTATACGGCACCATGGTGCTGTTTGTCTGGCGGGCTGCGCAATCAACGTCGAATACATTATTGCGGTTGGCAGCGCTCGCGGTTGCTCTATTGATGATATGGGCTGTCTTTCTTTCCGACTCGCGCAATGCCTGGGTGAGCCTGGTGATAGGTCTGGCTGTATTTGGTGTCGCCCAATGGTGTAAAGACGTGCGCCAGTTTCTGACTGCGGTTATTTCGGTGGGTGTGCTTGGTGGCGTGGTATTACTTATCCTGATTACCAGCGAGACGACGCGAGAGTTATTGTTGCCAAGGGGGGATAGCTTTCGGC